CCAGGTATGGTCTCTCGGTCGTCTTTTCAGCGCCCTGCAAACTCAGCAAAGTGTGCCCTATGATGAAGCCAAGAGTGAACATCAACAAATGCAAAAAGGAGCACAGCACGCGCTACACGGAATGCGCATCCGGTGTTATCTATGAAATTCCGCTTTCTTGCGGGCGAGTATACATTGGCAAGACTGGACGTTGTTTCAACCTGAGGGCACGAGAACACTTTCTGTCGATAAAAAACAACACAGGCGGACATCTGTCTGTACATTGTTTGAAATGCGGCTGTCATCCTGATTTGCAAAGGACACGTGTTCTCGCAAGAGCAAATGAGGCAACGGAAAAAAAACTCGTAGAGGCCTACTTCATTAAAAAGAAAGGTCACGACTGCATAAGCATGCAATCTGTTTCACTATCAGACAAGGAATTCTCTTTTTTGGACGGTCATGTTTAAACCTTATTTAACCGCAAACTGATTGCTGCTGTCATATATACTGTTGTGTCTGCGCCAAATAAACAGTTGGAAGTCTGCGCTCCGTGTGTCATACTCGTCTCTACCTCTGTCCTCGTCCTTTACGCAGTTCATTTATTTCTAAAATATTGTTAAAGTGTTGTGACCCATTTCTGTCACTTTCTTTGTGACGCTCTTAAAACAACTTGGTTGCACTTATATGCCCTGAGCCTTAACCCCTCCTCGAAGAGGTAAAAACATTGTTTATACCGTAATATCCCAAGAGATAGCCCATCCAAACGTGCAAGCAAATAAGGTGAAAATATGGAAAAAAAACTAACTTTCAATGCGCAGTCGAAAATTATTAAAAAAAATATGTGAGTTTTAGGTATTGTGACCTACGAAACTTGTGATTGCAGGGAGGGGTGACAAACTTGAGACAACTGCCCTTCGCTGTCAGCAATGTTCGCTCATCTCCCGTCGTGGCTGAGTAACACCATTTCTGTGAGGTCACTGTTGGCCAGGGCCCTGCAGTTACTAGATGGGGGCTGTCTTTTGGTGTTTCTGAAAAATAGCAAATCCTGCCAAAACTAGGGGTGGGGTTCCTCTCAGGATATTGCGATACCCTTCATTCTGTAGAAAACATAATCCAAAAGTAGAATGCCGGCCCATGTATGTGCACAAGATAATTTGTATTTGTGTGCTTGACTCCCACCCCCTTCAAATCTGTGCATTGGATAGGCGGTATCTGTTTACTAGATGTCTTGAATGAGTAAATCGGCTTTTCTTCGCATTTTAGACTCCAGGTTTTAAATATAGGTTCCTCAATGTGCAGCGCTCACTGGGACCACACGAATGGATGCCGGCACAATGCGCATTCACATTGAAACTGGAATGATTGGCACTCTGCCAATATCTTATGGTAGTTGAACACTCTTTAAATGGGGCCACGTTACACTATTGAGTTTGAATACTATGCAATCTACAGGGTGTCCCCCCCCCCCCCAAAAAAAAATTTACATGCCTTTTTTTTTTTTGCAAATATAAACTATGCATTGCTGAGCGCTCATTATCTGCCCAAATATATCCGTAGCGGTCCAAATCAAGTGCTAGAGTTTCAGAACTAACCTGTTCTATTATTCGAAAGTCTAAACAATTTCCTGAAATGTTCAGTGGGAAAATGGCAGCCGACGGAGCTGTTGGATCGATGGTGTTGAATGGCGCCAGTTACCGAAAACGGGTCCCGTTTTCCTATCAAAATTGTCAGAAAATCGCTTACAGCTCTTGATTGAGATAAAGGTCAATTCTGAAATGTTGCCACCTGGTTCGGACCACTTGCGCTACATTGGGGCGGTGAATGAACATTTGGCGACATACGATTCATTCTTGCAGGGAAAGAAACGCCACATTTTTGGGCGGAGGACACATCATACTCTAGTGTGCCGACGGAAATGTGACGCAAGGACATTCGCACGCGATGCCAGTGGGCCAGGAGTTTTTCTGTTGCAACATAATTTCAAGAGTAGAAGCCGACTACATTTTTTTTTGTCACTCCTTTGTGAGGTTTTCCAATGTAGTTGTAAAAGTCACTGCGTCGACTTAGTCGCGGGGGTCACCGGAGGGCGGTGGCAGTTGAATGTGGCCCATGGATTGGACACAAACGACAAGTGAACGTCTGACTCCGTCTTGGTTACACTCATTGCCACATTGAACCTTTGGGCTGGGGCTCACAACAAAAGGCTGCATCGACGGCGATGGCCAGCGTAGTCTGGCTCACACGTTGCGTTTGAGCGTAGTCAACAGCGTTGCAGCTGCTTTTGGAGAAAATGCACGGGACCCCTGGTGCCATCTATTAGGTGACCCTGGAACGCTTCTGAGATGTGTATGACTCGACTGAAGGTCTAGGGCATCTCGAAGGTCTAGTCATACGCAGTGTTTGCGAGATCAAACCTATGCGCTTACTATGAGGAACGATTGCCTATAACCAGGATTCCGTGTTTTCGAAATTTATTTCTCACCAAATTCGAAGGACATTCCTGCTCCTCCTGCCGAGCTTTTTTGCTGAAAGCTTTGAGTTTATCAGGGTCTATTTATTATCGACTTCTCGATTCTCTAGGGCTCCAAATTTAATATTGTTGTGTGTGCCCATTTTTTTTTTTTTTTTTTAGTTTAATAGGAAAACAATTATTATTCAGATACAAAACCTGCCCCAAGTTCGCAAGAACAACTGACCTGTGTCAAATGATATTTCTCTAGATGGATTGGGCATCCGTGCCCTCGCCGTTGGTAGTACTAACTGTCCCTCAGCAAGACTTGCACAAAAGTGTTGATTTAATAAATGTCAATACCTTGAAATGACTTAAATTGTTGGCATAGTCCCTGGAAAGCTCCATCCACTGCTCCAGCGGCGAGATGAAACCTTCAGCTGATCCCCTCCTTCCTACGATAATAGCTTTCACTTTTTGAGGAACCTGGGGAGGGCTCTTCTCTGGACCACAGGAACCTTTGTTCTGACCAAGCTTATTTGTAAAAATACCATCGTTTATTTATTTTTTTTGCCATCGTGATGCTTAAATTTTAAGTCGTTTTGGATAAGTCTAAATTTACGCAACTTTTACCGGCAAGTGTTTTTCGGATTTTATCGGATTTATATGAAAACACCGAGCCCTACTTATAACATTTTAAGTATTATAAGCATATGGTGCAAAGTCGATACTTAAGATATGTGCAGGTCGGAACTGATCCAAGAATGCAGCAATAGATCGAGGCATCGTCTTCTCCTATACGCTTCGCAAGTGGGCTCATTTTCGTCTTCTGCGCATGAGAAAGGAAGTAGCGGTGACGTCAGAACGCCGAGCCCTGATTGGCTGATTGCGACCCCCTATCTGAGCGTCGTCTGCTCCTTTGCAACGTCGTCTGCATCTCTCTTACCTTTCCTGTGACTTTCGGAGCGAACTCGACTTCGCCTTTAAAGGAGGGCAGACGAAATAACTTGAATGGTACGTTGTTTTTGTCTAACAACTAGCAGACGCGCATCAAGGAGGGAAGTCAAAAGACTCACTTGCGAGGTGTCGCGGGGCGCCGAGGTTTGTTTGCTTAGAACCGAGAGTGAGCGTGTTAGTGTCCGTAAGTTCCCTCCCAAATACTTTTTCCCTCCATTCCTGTGCAGCGAGACCCCTCACTCTTTGACGGCGCCGGCGGGTTGGCGCAGTTAACGTCGTCTGCTTTACGTCTGCTAGTCAAAGCGATGGCTGCTTTACCTTTTCTGCGTCTGTCGGAGATTCACCGCTTTTTCACCGGCAAGAGTCACCGTTGCCTCGGGAAACAAGGAGATAACAAGAGGAAGAAATTGACCTCTTAATCTAAAATTGAGGTCAGCGATCAGAGTATAACACGGGAAGGGTTCACAAGGGTCGCGCGGGCATATTCCATTCAGCACGCCAGCCGGTCGTGGGCAGACGGTCGCTGAGTCGCGGAGTGCCTGCTAGGCCTAACTGCCCAGCTCGTTTGGTCGCGTTCGGTGGAATCGTGGCCGTTGGAGCTTTTCCCCGGTGTTTGTGGATCCAGCGTTCTTGTTCGACGTGCTGTTTCAAGTAATTTTTACTTTTTTCTTGCTGCTTGAAGTCAGGACGCGTCAGAAGCTCACGTAGAAAAATAAACGTCCGTGGGTCGTCGCGACCGCAACGCTGTCGACCATGCTGAGTTGATCGTAAGAAGTGCGAAGGACAGCTTCGGAGCTGTCGTAGGATTTCGCCGTAACCTGCGCAAAACGTACGAAAATTTCGTTTCGCGAATACGAATTAGTTCTTAAGCTTCGTCTTACGCACATTTTTGGCGTAAGATCATTTCGTGAATCTCGCCTCTACACTTCCGAAAATCGCAGGAAATGTAAGACAGACGCAGACGACATTTCGAGCAGACGACGTTGCAAAGGAGCAGACGACGCTCAGATAGGGGGGCGCGATCAGCCAATCAGGGCTCGGCGTTCTGACGTCACCGCTACCCCCTGCGCAAGAAGCAGACGAACTTGCCCTCCGCATTGTAAGCAGTCTCAGCCGTTTGTGATGCAGTTGATTAAACTCAAAACAGAAATATGTGTGCCAGCCTTAAAGGGGCACTAAAGCAATTTCTGTAATAGTTTATTATGGTCAAAACTCAATCTATGGGCTTTAAACATCCTAACATTACATTCATGTGTGGCCAATTTCTCTGTTAAGATCGGTATTGAAGATAGATTATCTCGAAACTAGTGCCGACACCAGGGGGCATTGTCAGGCAAGAAGGGCTTCTCCTCGTTCGACGGTGCCCTCTGGTGTCAGTAATAGTTCCAAGGTCATCAATCCTTTGATGCCAATTTTAATAGAGAAATCGGCCACGGATCAATGAAACGTTTGGTTTTTTAGGATGCTTAGAGCCCAGATTGAGCTATGACCATAAATGCACCATTGCAGAAAGTTGCCTACTGTCCCTTTAAAATCTATTGCATGACACCATAACGGCACGAACTCCAACCATGCCGGTGGCAAAAGAGAGGTTTGGGGTACAGATGTACCCAAGTGACTACTTCCTGGACTGGAGATCCTTTATGTTCCCAGGTTTGTGACAGATCTTTCTCAAAACTATGAAAACAAGTGGTGCACTGCCTATGCAACAGTGTGCACAACTAAAATGAGACTGATGTGAAAGACATCCTAATGTATAGTTACTCTCCGTAAAACGACGGGTAGGAAGACCACTTGTCAAAAAATAAAAGCTATAACAATGTGCACACATATAGGAACACAGACAGACACACAAAATGTCAAAAATGCTTCAGAACTCTTTGCAGGCATGTCCCTTGAGATCTCGCTTTGTTCCTAGCGGTAGCAGACGGGTTTTGGTGCAGTTCTTCCCTTCTGGAGGCATCTCCATTATCCTGCTCTAAGGTTCATTCATCAAAAGCAGATGGGGCACATGGTGGTCTGTACAGGGTGCCTTCATTGTTGTGGCAGAGGTTGTAACCTGGAGTCTTCCTCTTGTGTCGACCCTGATGATCTTACTTTCAATAGTCAGCATTAAGAGGAACCTGTGGATTTTGTAAACAATCCACAGGCTGTGCTGCACTGGTAGCAGTCGAAGGTGTCCACCGTAACATGCTTCTGCCACTCTTTTGTGCACCGTATTTGGTAACAATCTAGGCTCTTTGTGCTGTGTTGACTTTTGCAAAAAGTAAGAGGTACAGGCTTGTTCCACGGTTGACCTGTCCTGCCCATGGTGCTTTTCCAGAAGCCAGACGACGATGAATTGAAGCGATGGTTCAATTCAAGACACATTTGTTGCTAGTGACGGCAGGAAGACATATGTGTACTGCTCGTCTTGGAAATGTCGCCTGCCCAGTGCATGCCGGATGACCCTGCCCTCCAGGAGCCGTTTGCCGTAGCGTAGTGCCTGGGTTCGGTCTTGGCAGAGTCCGACAGCAATAAGCCAGTCCACAAGCTCGCGTCCTACAAACGCAAGCTGGAACACCGTCCCGTCCAATCCCCGCCGCGGTGCCGTGATGTCGGCCACGCACGAGGCGTAGTGGTACATCCGGAACTGGACGGAGATCTGCCTCGTCTCCGCCGGGAGTTCATCCTCTCGAGGAAGCGTGAGCACTCCGGTGTCCCGGCCCATCCTGAGTCCGTGGATGATGCAGTTCCAAAGGTTGGACAGCTGCCGTACCAGCCATTTTGCGTCTAGTCCGAAGACCAGGAAGGTGATCATGCCCTGTCCGTAATTGAGCACAATATCCAGAAACTCCAGCTCGACCAAGATGCCCGTTGGAACGTCGGTGAGCAAAAGTTGCCAGAAAGACACTGCGAGTCCGACGACCATGGAGACGCTCAGGAGGAGCAGGAGGACTAGATGGCGGAAGACCTGGTGCAGATCTCCGTCGGGTGGAGTGAAGCTCTCTAACTCGACCACCTCATCCTGAGGTATCCGGTCCTGGCCAGTCCTCTCATGGTAGGCCTCGACGATTGCGAGACACTGCTTGACCTGTTCTTTGTCGCAGTTGAACTGTGGTCCACACAGGAGGTCTGCGGTTTGATCAGCCATTCGGGACGATGATGGCGTCTCAATGTCCGACTGGTGGTTTGTGTTGATGGAGCCGTGGGTGCTTGAACTTTGAACCATTCCAAAACTGGTTGTTTGCCTGGCAGACCTGCTGTGTGAAGGAGAACCGGAATGGTGCCTGGTGCGTCTGGAATGGTTGAGGATGTCTTCAAGATCTGCGACGGCGTGGTCTTCGTCTCCAGAGCAGCTGCCACAGTTTTCACAGTCTCCGGTGCAGGAGTCGTCCTTCTTTTTAGTGACTTTCAGGTCTTGCTCACTAGAGGACCTATTAGAAGAACATGCCGGCGAGCTTGTAACATCTGTCTGTGCTGTCCGATCGTCCTCATCGTCACTGCCGCTGCCCAGTGGAGCGTAGCCTCTTGTTTGCATTCGGAACCGTTGTTGGAACACCATGCTGACAATGGTCACAACCAAGCTACTGAGTAGAACACCGACAGCCACAATCGCCTGCACGTCTCCAAACTGGAAGTTTGGATCTGCGGTCCCAAGCCTTGATCCCCTCTTCGGTATGCTGAGGCAGAGGGACAGGGCCACGAGAAACGAAGATCCAAAGCCAAAGACGACAACGAGCCATTTCATCCGGAGTACAAAGCACAGACTCCTCCAGTGAAGGAGCATGAGCAGGGCGGCAACGATGGCCGTCCAAATCCTGGACGCAAAGATTCCAGTGATGGACAGGGCAGACTGAACAAAGCCAATTGTGGAAGATGGATCGTGGGGGTCGCACGCGATCCACAGGACGCCGCCGACAGCGGTGGCCAGTTGGCAGACAACGAGGAAGAAGGTTGTTCCATGGGTGATGCTGTGGCGCTTGCGGCCAAGCACCACCAGGAGCCAGAGACAGCAGACGGTGCTGACGGCCCCGGAGTAGACCATGGTATTGCCCATGGTCGTAAAGAAGCTGCGCAGCCCACCCCTGGAGATCTGGCTCATGGTGGCCGAGATAAAGATGAAGGGCGCCGACAAAAAAGTCCCGGCAACCATGGCTGTCGACACGGCGGCCGTGGGCAGCCCGTACTGCGTGGTGAAGATGAAGACGCTGGGCGCCATCGGGATCATGCCGTAGAGGAAGCCAAAGTTGCCGAAGTCCCTGGCGTCCTTTTCGTTCAATGACACCTGGAGGAGGTTGACAATCTCCCGGATGACCAGTGGACAGACGAGGATCTTGGCAGCAATGAGGAGGACGGGCGTGAGGGCCGCATACTTGCCCATGGAGCTGAGCTGCCCAACCATGTTGAGACCGAGAAGGAAGAGTGTAGACGCGATGAAGGCGTCTCCCAACGAGTCGACAATGATCTGGAAGACGTACGGCAGGGCGCAGGCGCTCGTGGCGACGTTCCAGAGGATCCCCAGTGCGGGCGCCAGGACGACGGGGTTCTTGAAGATACCAGCAACGGTCAAGAGGACTCGACGAGTGATGGGAGACGGGCTGTCTTCGCTGTCGCTTCGGCTGTACTCCATCATGAGGAAAGCGATCGGGTTGAGGAAGGCGAGTTGTATCGGCGACACGAGGTAGAGGTAGTGGCTGAACGTCGGCTGGGTCCTGTCGAAGAGGTGCGAGATAAGCGGGTAGCCGAGACCGAAGTCGTTGCTCTGCGTCGCCGCGATAGCGTACAAGCCCGCTTTGCCGAAGGACAGGGGCCGTCGCACGAGCAAGAGGGTCACGGCCGCGACCGCCACGAACACTGCGGCTTTCCCCAGGGCTAGGGCGGCAAGGAACTTCCAGTTGACTTGCCCGAGGGCGATGGTAGCCAGCGACTTGAAGGCGACAGCCGGCAGCGCGAAGTAGGACACGAACACGTTGAGGCTCCGCGTTTCAGCTAACCCAATGAGTCCGAAACGGCCCGAGGAGTAGCCCAAAAGGATTATCGCGAAGCACTGGACGAGGACCGGGAGAAGTTCGTCGTAGACGACGTGAGGATCACCGGTCGGAGCAGGCGGCGACACAGCTCTCGTTGCGGGCTCCATAGTTTCGCCGTCGCCTGCGTCGGCGTAGTTCTGCGTCCGTTGTTGGAGTGCGGCTCGTGAATCAGAAAGCGTTGGTCGCCGAGTGTCACGTCGGGTTGAGCGAGCGATCGTAAACACGGGAGGCCATTTGGGCCTTTCCGTGACGCACGTACGCACTCCTTCGCTGCCTTTTCTCTTCGGAGTTTGATAGATGGACAGACCGAAAGAAAAGAAAAAGCGGAGAACAGATTTGTCGGTCGTCTTCGACGAATAGGCTTGACCGAACCTCGAACTGTGCGTTACTGGGCGCATGGGGGCGCAACGTGTTGTTCGCGGATTCGCGCGGACGACGCGATCATTGTCATGGTTGTCATGCGTTTAGAGCATTTTTTTCTTGTTCTAGGTGTTGGAGGACGTGTGCAAAAAGCAGCATCTGAATCCGGCTGAATATGAACTCTTGTGAGTAAGCTTTGGCTTTGTTATTTTATCTCTTTCACTCTCCGCGTCTCGATCAGTGCAGTTGTCAACGGATGCCGGTGAGATATCTTGGTTTCGGTATCGTCGGTGCGTGACTTGTGCGCGTTCAAAGCAACAAACATGTCTCGTTTTTTTTTTTTTTTTTTTTTTTTTTTATTTATTTATTTATTGAGTAGATTGGTTTAGCGTTGTCTATACACGTTTGCAAGTCCGGTCTCAGGGCGCCGCCATCTTCCTCAGTGGGGTGCGCTCTCGGGAGCGGCCATAATCCGATTACGACGCCGTAGCAAGGCTTCGTAATCGGATTATGACTGGTCCAAGCGCACCCCAGACAGGCAAGATGGCAGCGCCCTGAAGCCGGACTTGCAAACGTGTATAAGCAGTGTTGTACGGAACGGCGTTCCTGGAACGAGTTCCTTTTAGGAGGAACGAAGGAACGCCGCCGTTCCATTTTGCATCGCTGGAACGGGAACGCGTTACATTTTTACTGCAACGGAAAGAATAGCGGCGTTCCTTTTTTTCGTCCAGTGGGGTAATTTTTATTTTATTTATAACAGGGAAATTTTGACAGTACAAAAACAATATCTTTACGAAGTGCAGGATCTCGTTAACTTTTTGGCGGCTAATCTTATGGATTATTTTGTGTGGTCCTCGCGGTCCTCGCTTGCTAACGGTTTCGGGTGCAGGAGAGCTGGTGGACATTGATTCTTTTTTTGAGTGCCCGAAACTGCGGCACAAAAAGCAAAACTTTTAGTCGTAGGAAAAGACAAAGAAAGAGGGTCGTTTCAAACTCAGCTACTTTTTTTGGTTCTACGAATCCGCATGCACCCAGAAATTTAAGGCCAACTACAGACATTTCTGAACTTCCATAACGAGACCTACAATTACAACAAGATCACAGGTTGCCAGACATTGAATGCACCCTTGTATCCCTAACATTGGTCACTTAAAAGATACACAAAAAAAAAAAACACCTTTATTCCTTCTCTTGTCCCCCACCTTCAAACTGAACAACAAATCCAACCTTCACAAAGAAGTATTTGTAGTCTTCAAGACTGACCTTCCAAAAGCCCTACACTCTCCTGCACTTGCTCGTCTTGCGGACAGCAACATAGAGAAGCAACTATTGTTAGGTTCTAACAAGGGACATCGTTAAATTGAAACGTGTGAGGTTGTTGTAAAACGCTCGTGCAATGTGCTCACATTCGGCTCGTCTCAATCGTCCACTACAACCATGAATATGGTTAAAAGCTAAGATTTTTAACTTGAATATATCAACAAATAAAACCCTGCTTCCGCTTGTTTTCTTCTTCTGGTGCCCTTCCATCACGACATACAAACTCGTATGTTGCATATTGATGGGATAGATAAAAAAAAGAGAAAACAATCTTTGCTTGATTTAACTAAATATGGTAATTAGCAAAATACAAATGTAACGTATATGTAACTATACGTTCCATTTTTTACACTGTAACGGGAACGAGTTTCTTTTTCACAGATGGAACTTGTGACGGTAACGCGTCCCAAAAATCGGAAGGAACTAGGAACAAGCTTTCGTTCATTCTTTTTGAGGAACATGTACAACACTGTTTATAAGTTATCCTTTGAAGCAAAAACTTAAGCATTGTTTAATTTCTGCCGCGCCATGTCCGCCTCAATAAATTTAGCGCCCTTTGTTGCAAGGACGAGGTTGCCTGCGCTTAGCAGTGAAGAATCGAATAAAAAAAAGTCACGTGATACCCTCCCTCTCCGTGGCTGCAAATTACCAATGTTGCACGCAATAAACATTTCGAAAACATAATTAGGAAAAAAGTGATTTTTTCTGAGAGCAGATTTCTGTTATTCTGTGTGTTCTAAAACCACGTGAGGATTTCTAGGTCTCCAGTATTTCAAGTAAAGTTTTAGGCGTCAAAGGGTTATGTTCATTTCATTTCTTTTCCCTCAAGGCATAAACCATTAGAGGAACAATGAGTCGCTAGTCAAAAACTCGCATCGGAAAAATGGTAAACATCATTATTAAGAAAATCGGGTGGACTAATCAATGCCTTTTTGAAAAGTGCACTATCAACAATTGAAACAATGGTTCAGCACTCAGAAATTTTGCATTGGCTAACAATACTGGGAGTTCGGAAGAAGGATGCAAAGCTTGCATTCATAATTTAGAACAAAACACATGATAAAAATATATCAATTCGCTATTTCCACACCTCAGGAGCAAAATTCAATGAAGCTCGACAATATGGGGAACTATAATAACGACTCTCAAAAGGCATCGAGTTGGTATTTCCAAGTTGCATACACTTATTGTATATAAACAGGAATAGAAATTTTCTCAGGTGCTCCTATTACCTGCCCTTGCTGTAATCTCCCTACATTAGTAGAGTTTCGAACAGCTGTTGTAATGCACGGTTTGCCTGTCATTACCCTTTTAACTATTTTCATGCTTGCACACACAGATATTTTTTGTTTTCATCTCTGTTCATTTTCGAGCTTACGTAAACTGGGCTTTCTCTCTCTCTCTCTCTCTCTTTGTTGTATATGTTTGAAAAGCCCTTCTGACGTTTGATTTTATTAATAGACTTCCAAAGTTTTTTTGCAACAGACTATCCTTTTGTTCTTTTTTATAATATGCATTTGTTGTGACATTTTTGTCGGGTTTGAAAAGTTCATTTTGTCGTCAAATTACAAAAATGTAATTTGCTAAATTTGCGTTAGGATTCAACGGCTAAATAGGCCCGAAGCGCCCAGTTTCGCTATCGCCGCTGAATGCAACGCCATTCCAGCACCTAGCGGGACGCTCTGATACCGGCTGGTCGCGTCGGTCGCGTTTTTGCGAGTTCTACGCTTCACCGTCTTCGTCGTCGTTTCGCAGCCCGATCGCCCGATGCTCTAGTCAAAAGCGGGCACTCGCGATGATGAAAAAGAGACGCAAGCCCGGAACGCAATACTGTTGTGTGGTTGGTTGTAATAACAACCTCAGGAATTCTAGTCACTCCTTGAAATTCTACCGGTTCCCCGGAAAACCGTACGAGGCCCTGCGACGCCAAGCCTGGATCACGGCGGTGCGGCGGCAAAAGTAAGTTTCTTTCGCTCATAGCCATACTCATCATAGAGATCATATGCTCGTAGCTCACAGCTACTACGTTTTTATGTGGGATTTTTTGGTCCCCGACGGTTCGGTGCGGACCTTTTCGTCACGCTGTCGTTTCGGGGCACTTTCGCTTCGGCGCGACGCGGTCGTTTTGGTACACGGCCGGACATCGGTACCTGGCGTTTCGGTGCTGGGAATTTCGCTACCAGGCCTTTCGGCACAGGGAATTTTGGTAGCGGGAATTTTGTTACCGGGAATTTCGTTACTTGCAGTTTATAAGCAGGGTGCCGTGTTTTCGGTATTTATTTTTCTTCAAAGTCGGGGGTTATTTATCGATGTTTATTTTTCCCTTTTAATTTCATTTCATTTATTTGGCTCAGGAGAGTTGGGAGTACAGCAGAAAGGCCGAAGGCCCATACCAGTTGGTCTGGTATGTTTTTTCGGTGTTTTTCGGTGTCTAATTTTAATGCCGGAGAGAAATCGGTGTTTAGCGGGCTTTTAATATTACTGGAGAAAATACTATAATTTATAGGTTATGCCTTTAAACATTTTCCCCAATAATGCTGGTAAAGATAAGGAAAAAAAAAAAAAACGGGGCAAGGAATGTGGTTTTGATAGAAAGGAAGAACCCAAAAGACAGTTCAATGCAGATCGTTCCAAATCAAGACAAAAAAAAACAAAACAAGGATTTTACTTTAAAGCTAGCGTTTTCTTTCTTTTTTTCCTTTTTTTCTTTCTTTTTTTCTAAGAACAGCTTAAATTTGGGTTCTTTTGGTTTTCACCGATTCTGAGAAAACCGCCTCGAGGGTTAATTTTCTGTGTTTATTGGTATATACCGAAAACAAGGGACCTTATTTATAAGGTGCTGCAAGTTCGCTGCGTCCATTATGTTCCCTTTACTTAATATCTTTTAAAAATTCCTCTGTTTGTGTCTCAGATTCAAATTATATACCTTTCTCCATTGGGAGAGAAGAGGCGAGGCAGGGAAAAAAGCAACTCAGGTGTTTGTGTTGTTGACCAGCTTCTGTCCCCCCCCCCCCTCCTCCCCCCCCCCCCCCCCCCCCCTCCCCACAAGCAGCGGAGAAAACAAGAAACAAGTCCGCGACAGGTTCATATATCGCGAATTTGGCTCTCGTCCTTGACATTTCTTTTGTAGTGCAACGTTTTGTCTTCATTTATATATTTTTAAACATGACAAAAACCTAATACAGATATATATTTTTACTTGGAAAAATATGGCTCTCGTGAATGCTCGTGAATGTTCTGGTATGTTCTGGTGTATATAAATAGTTTTATAGTTGAGAAACAACAGTGACATATGGCCAAGTGGGACCAGGTAAAAACAATGCTATTAAGTTGAAGGGTCAGGAGCGTATATTTTTATATAGGAAAGTAAAGCACGTGACTTGTTGCTGTTTTTTCACTGCTTGCTATAGTTCAACATGTCGGGACAGTTTCATCCTGATAAGGCTTCTTGCGTGACATGCTTATGAAAACAGCATAGTATCTCCTTCTGTAATAGCCCTCCAGGGATGGCATTATTTGAAATTAAAAAAAAATAAATAAAGGGATTTGTATTTATGTAAAATGCGAAGGAGAAAAGTAACGCACCAAGATAATTGCACTCCGAAACACGCGCAGATCAAAACGTTGCCATTCTTAAATATCTCAGTACTAAAATGTCCGACACCTAATCGTCCGGTCCTGAATTCTTCAGTGCCAAAACATACGGTTTCCTGATCATGACCTTACCCTCCTTTCATAAGTATATTTAAACTACGAGCTTAAATACCGAGTTTGTTTTAGTGCTGGTTTCCTAGCATAGAGTGTCTGAAAATGTTGCAACAGAAGTATGATAACACGTCTAGTCGTCTTTGCAAAAGATTGCAACCATCTATGGAGATTGAACTACTGTCCTCTCACTCAGTGATCCGGTACCTCGCCCCCTGTGTCCTTTGTTACCATTGTTATAGATGGTATGTGTGTATCCATGCTGCCACAGAGAAAAAGCTGTGTCCCCCAGTGGTAGGAGCTCAAAGGAGCTCACAATGTATAAGTGAAGGGCAACTTTTTTGGATCTTTATAAAAAATGATTTGCTCGAGTTGCAAGATAAAATGTATCTTGTTAACGTGGCAGCTTGGGCGAGTTGGTTGCACATGATATCACACACCACAGCGCACTATAGCAAATGACACTCACGCCTTACACACGAAAAATAAAGCAAAATTCAAACAAACCGCGCTGACTGACAACTCTTTTTATATAACTTTGTCTTCTTCAACCTCTAGCACCACCGAATTTCCCAATTCACGCGCACCGATCTCCTAGATGCCTAAAAATGTTTTCTCTTTTTCTGTCAGGTGTAAAGATGGTGTACTTATACAGTTGTTATAGTTCCTGGCGATATGTTCTGCTTCGATAATTTCTCGTGTTAATTGGTTTCTGTTCCTGCCTAAAATTGTACAGGATGGCAAGTGAACGTCGCACCCACAATCCCGGCAGTGTATGCCTAGATGCCCTGAGTTGGCTCTGGAGCTGTTGTTGTTGTGTTCCCGGAGCCTATCGTTAAGGCATCGTCCGGTCTGACCAATGTACACTTTCCCCGCACGAAAGGGGAAATGAGTACACCACTTCATCGGCACACTCAACGAACCTGTTCTGATGGTTTTTGGTGCAGCATACTGTTCGGTGGAAATCAGGTGAGTTGACTTGTTTACACAAGTTGCCAAGCTTATTGGGAGCAGTAAAGACGACAGTGATGTTGAACTTGTTTGCAATTTTCTTGATTCCATGGGAGAACCTGTGGAAGTATGGAAGCACGACCGGTCTCGTAGATCTTTCTCTGGCTCTTGGTGTGATATATGATGTCGTATTTTTTGTTTTCAAGATGCTCTCAGCAATTGATGTTAATAATGACGTGGGATATCCGGCGGATGTTAATCTGGAAATTTGGGCATCGAAGCTTATTGAAATAGAATGCTCGCAAGATTTTTGAAGAGAGTTACCTAGACATAATTTGACGATTCCTCTTTTTACTAGCTTAGAATGTGCCGAATTGTATGGAAGAATTGGTTTTTTATTCCTTGGCTCATATTTCCAGCATATATGAGTGTGTTGTAAATTGAGCCTGAGATCAAGGAATCGGATTGATCTTTCTTCTACTTTTAAAAACTGCCTAAAACTACTGGAAATCACTTATGAGCTTCCGGAAGAAAGATCAATCCGATTCCTCGATCTCGGGCTCAATTTACAACACACTCATATATGATCAAAAAAACTGCTCCGACTTTACTCAACAAGATTAACAATTTAATCAAACGTTTCGTCTCCCATGCGGTTTCATTTGATGTTGTGTCCTTGTTCACGAATGTCCCCACCTCTCGGGCTGTTGAGATAGCCGAAACACATCTACGTAGGGATGACAGCCTCCCATCACGCACATCGTTACCGGTGGATGATATTGTAATTTAGCTGCGTTTTTGTCTTAAACAATCGCATTTTACGTTTCGCGGACAAATTTATCACCAAATTGAAGGATGTCCAATGGGTAGCCCAATTTCTGTTACAATGGCAAATCTGGTTATGGAGTATGTGGAGGAAACTGTCCTTGAACAGGGTATGCTCCCGATAGGTTTTTACAAACGTTATGTGGACGACACTTTTGTAATTTTAAACAAGGACCATGTTGCTGACTTTCATTTAGCTTTAAACAATGTTGAATCATCAATCCAATTCACACATGAAGTTGAACAGAACGGTGCGCTGCCTTTTCTGGATGTTAATGTGTTCCGACATAGTAACGGTCGCTTAGATACAACAGTGTACCGCAAAACTTGCGATACAGGCAACCTCTTAAACTTTAACTCGCACCATTCTGTCGAACATAAAAGGGCTGTCGTAAAAACCTTACTACATCGGTCCGAACGCATTTCTTCTAATCCTCAATTGCGCGCTTCTGAAGATGCTGTTATTGTTGACCTGTTGATGAAGCGGAATTATCCGAAACGTTTTATTGATAACACGCGCAAACAGATGGGGCAAAGAAGAAGTCAGGATAATGGACGACTTAGGACAGGGCAAGTAACAATACCCTATTTGAGAGGTGTTTCTGAGTCTATTCGCAGGGCCCTCGCCCCTTTGAATATCCGTACTGCTTTCAAACCCCATCGTAAACTACGTGACCTCATTTCTAAACCTAAAGATTACACCCCCCCAGAGTCCCAGTGCGGTGTTGTGTATAAAGTGAATTGTCTAGACTGTGACGCATCCTACATTGGGGAGACAGGCCGGAAGCGCTGCACTCGCTTAAACGAACACAAAAGGGACGTGGCGAAGGCCACGCATGCGACAAGAGCGAAGACGGAACTCGTAGACCATTGTTGGAATACGGGTCACTGTTTCGACTTTGAGAATGCGTCCACTCTGGCGCGCGAACAAAGGTGGGGTCCACGCAGGTTCGTGGAATCATGGTTCATCCGAAGTGACTCATCAGCTTGCAACTCGAACCGCGGCCCCCTCCCCGATGTGTATGCGGACTTGCTTAAATAGGACTGTAGAAGTTTTTTCTCTCATTCCTGCTTGTAGGTTTCACTGACGATGTTTCCTGCATGGGAGACGAAACGTTTGATTAAATTGTTAATCTTGTTGAGTAAAGTCGGAGCAGTTTTTTTGATCATTATGATTCCCGGCTTTTGGAATATTTTTGCACACTCATATATGCTGGAAATATGAGCCAAGGAATAAAAAACCAATTCTTCCGTACAATTCGGCACATTCTAAGCTAGTAAAAAGAGGAATCGTCAAATTATGTCTAAGTAACTCTCTTCAAAAATCTTGCGAGCATTCTATTTCAATAAGCTTCGATGCCCAAATTTCCAGATTAACATCCGCCGGATATCCCACGTCATTATTAACATCAATTGCTGAGAGCATCTTGAAAACAAAAAATACGACATCATATATCACACCAAGAGCCAGAGAAAGATCTACGAGACCTGTCGTGCTTCCATACTTCCACAGGTTCTCCCATGGAATCAAGAAAATTGCAAACAAGTTCAACATCACTGTCGTCTTTACTGCTCCCAATAAGCTTGGCAACTTGTGTAAACAAGTCAACTCACCTGATTTCCACCGAACAGTATGCTGCACCAAAAACCATCAGAACAGGTTCGTTGAGTGTGCCGATGAAGTGGTGTACTCATTTCCCCTTTCGTGCGGGAAAGTGTACATTGGTCAGACCGGACGATGCCTTAACGATAGGCTCCGGGAACACAACAACAGCTCCAGAGCCAACTCAGGGCATCTAGGCATACACTGCCGGGATTGTGGGTGCGACGTTCACTTGCCATCCTGTACAATTTTAGGCAGGAACAGAAACCAATTAACACGAGAAATTATCGAAGCAGAACATATCGCCAGGAACTATAACAACTGTATAAGTACACCATCTTTACACCTGACAGAAAAAGAGAAAACATTTTTAGGCATCTAGGAGATCGGTGCGCGTGAATTGGGAAATTCGGTGGTGCTAGAGGTTGAAGAAGACAAAGTTATATAAAAAGAGTTGTCAGTCAGCGCGGTTTGTTTGAATTTTGCTTTATTTTTCGTGTGTAAGGTGTGAGTGTCATTTGCTATAGTGCTCTGTGGTGTGTGATAGCAAGATAAAAGTTAAGCTCAGAGATTTGTCGTGCTAATTATCTTTATGTTTGTATTTCCTGTTACTTATATTGTACGTTGTTCACTTTGCCCGTTGCATTCAAAAATTAATTTTGTTATTAGACTCCAAACTGATTTGGCTGTGGGTCTAAACATAATTGTACATTATTGTGTCATATCCTAAAATAAAATAAAATGAACTAAGAAAAGAAAAAAGCAGCATGTTGCATATTCAATGCTAACTTTGCCCATAGGATTAAAGGGGTACTGAACTGCTTTTTATAGAAGTTTGTTTTTGATGGCATATTGTTTGCTGGGCTTTAGTCAATAAAAATGACCAGTTCTAGATGCACAGACACTATCTTTTCTTGGGAATGCCGTGCTCAGGTCCCTGCCACCTCTATAAAATTCGACTTATGAAATTAGTAATTGTGTGGAGATTCCGAATGTTTCTATTATTGATCTTTCTAGGCATTATGAAACATCAAATCTCCAAGTGCGGGAGACGTAATGAAACAATTATTGTTTGAAAATGCCGTCCGACAGCGTCCCGGTGTCTGCTTCAAGGCGCAGAAAGAGGAGCATGCCACGATCTTGATTAGATTTGTAATGGAGAAATTCCACGCGTGTCATTTCGGGTTTTTGGGGTTGCTTAGAGCCCATAGAATGAGTTATCACCATAAATAGACAATCTCATAATCCACTTGAATGCCCCTTTAAGGGGGTACTGAAACGAAATGACATAGCTGCAAGCTCTCCACCTCTCACTTCAAAATCGGCCAGCGAGAAGCGCATTGCATATTGCACTCGTGACGTCACGGACCTTTGCACGGTCCTCTGCACGGCCAAGGGTATTGTAGTTGTGAGCAATGCTGCTTGGTGGCTTCAACACGTGCCTAGTAGTAATTTCCGAGGGCTGCACGCCCTGTGGTCTAGCTTGCTCATAGCGTCATTTGCAACCATGCTGCAAGCATTCAGTTCACAGTGTTACTTTCACACCGCAGAAGTAGGAGTTGAGGGAAGCAGTAAGTAGAAACAGCTGTCTATAACCTGTAATAGCAACACCTGCAAGCTATATGAGGTATTCTCTGGGTGCCATATTTGAGTGCATTATTCACACCGCATCCGGGAGGTGGTGGGGGGGGAGTAGTACGGTTGGCCTGGCAGAGGTCCCTGCATCCTAAGATCAAGCTCCTACCTTTCGTCTGTTAAGAACGGCGATCTTGACAGTGTGAAATGCACGTTGCAGAAGCACTGTGGATTTCTTGTTAAGCTTTGCGATTCCGTTCAAGCCTGAGTTGTGTATACATTTGTGCTGTACTTCCGTGAGTGGCCTCCCAACTACCAGGGCCGGTTTTCTCGAAACGATGGTAAACCATGGTGCCTAGGAAGGAAAAAGTACCTAGGTACTGTAATAAACGGCTGGATATAGAACAACAATAATTATTTTTGATTGGGCAGTAAGATGCGCCATCTATCGGCAAAACAAGCCAGTCATTTTGTTTATCCTCTTTTTCCGCTAATTGTTATCGGTCCAGTATGGTATTTTAAGTCAAAATATAGTAATGTTGTACTTGAAGACCAATTTATTTGCTTCAGATGGTACGAAGAAAGTTTAGCTACTATGCTAGAGTTTGCCGACGAATATTCGAAAATGTAAGAAACATTTCCTTCAATATGTTTCGCCATAAACAACGCATAACTTTCCCGTGTGCTTTCCAGTCTGGCAACGCCGGTGCTGTAGTCTCGTTTTTGTTCCTTGCAACGCACGTTTCTGCGATTCCTGCTGATCTCAACTGTTTGCCCCCTTTTCTTTTTGCCCAACCGATCCACCGGTCACGAGGAGCTAAGCTTCTCGTCACCGGTGAATTTTTGGCCACCGGGGATATGTAGAAACCTCGATGCTGTCGGCATACTGTCGGCGCACTGCGAACAAAAAACAGTACAATGTCCCAGCTGTTCACCCGGAACGAAGACTTTATTGAGGATAATCCCATTTCTTCGCAAAGTAATCGTTGCTCACAAGTTGGCGTGCATAGTGTAACAAATTAAACTTGTTAGTATAAATATATACCAACGCTCGTTCGCAAAACATTTTTAACTCGCCATAAAAACACTTGCAAGGCTTATGTACCGTCATATGTCTTGGATTGCGGACTGCTGAAGAGTGATGCGTTCGCGGAATGCTACCGTCGGTTAGTTTAGTAGTCCCTCTGAACTACCGCTTTGCTTGACGTGCTAATAGGTTATGGTGCGTCATTGATATAACAGCCGGATCGAAATAAATGTTCAGCAGAACCAAGAAGAACTATTAGCCCTCATCAACCGATTTCGCGGCCATTTTGCTTGTAGGTACTGCTCCTCCCTCGACGCCCCTGCTCTCCAGTCACGTGACCTAGGATTCCCTCTTCTAGGGACAACAGTTAACTTTAACCCACGGTTCGCGTTCAAGAAAACAAGCTTAGGTGGTATTGAGGAGTCATTTTATTTGTTTTAAAATCAGTTTACGAGCAGAAGACTGGTGTTTGGGGGGGGGGGGGGGGGGGGGGGGTTGTTTCTGTGGTGCTGACACAATATAGTTTATGGCTAAGCAAAGAAATAAGAGCTAAAATTTTGTTTCCGTTCCCCTTTAAGGTGCAACTAAATTTATTTTTTACGTCTCCTCAATTACAGCATATAAACATATTTCAAATTCCTTCTTGCCTTCTTCGTCCTGTGCCTGTTAGTTATTTTAAATTTCTCAAGATACGTAACCTGCTATGCACAGCAGACGTTGCGTACTGCACCTTTGCATGCACGGGCCTGCCAGTGTCTTTATCACCTTGTCTCGATTTTGTTCCGCGGTTCACGCCAGAGGTCTCAGATTGTTTAATTGTTGCAGGGAGGACGGTTCTGACTGGGTTCCGTCCCAGTCGGCCAGGATCTGCAGCGCCCACTTTGTGGGCAACTGCAGGAAGGAGTCCGAGGCTCACCCGTCCTATGTCCCGACCATCTTCCCTGCGGTCTACGGAAGAAAGAAGGCACCCAACACGGGCAAGGCACAGAAGTAATGGCATGCTCCTCGGATGGGCCACTTTCTGTCTAGAAACCTTGGCGGTCTCTGCCCTAATAAGCCTTGTTGCCACAAGCGACGTGGATCTATAGACGTTTGCAAGAACGGCCTCCGGGCTCCGCCATCTTGCTGCTGGTGTGGGTAGATCATCCGATAGTCGAGCATTGCTGAGGCGTACCCACAGTTTCCAGACTGGTGCCCAAAAAAAGTGTTTTCCGTCCACGGTGCCCAGACAAGCTCTTGAAGCCTGGCTGCTTGCGAACGTCTATAGACCGTATTTTCCAATGTTTAAGTTCCATTTTCTTTTTTTAAACTTTCGTTGGCATGTTTTTATATAACTGTGACTTGTACCGTAAAATCGCGAGAGATGCCCCATCCCCGAAAGATAGCCCACCCTTATTTTTGGCTTGATTTGCTATGTTTTTCTTTAAAACACCGAGAGATAGCCCACTTGTAGTAATAGTTGGGATGCTCTTAGTAACAGTTGGTAGTTGGGATCAATGATGGCCTCGGCGTAAATGCGGCTAGTTCACTATGGCGGGATATAAGCGAACGCTGCTGACTGGGAAGAACAGTCATCTTTGCTTCATGGCCCCTCGCCACCGTGACAAGCTTGGAAGGGACACAGCCTAAAAACAGCATTTTTTTAAACTTTTTTTGATTGTACATTGAAGACTAGCCCACTCCATGCTTTCAGCCGATTTGCTCTTAATATTAGGTGGGCTATCTAGAAATTTTACGGTATGCTTTTTTTTTACAAGTATGGTTTTTGTTTTTGCAAATTTGCCGTGTGGGTTATGTTTTTTGCTTGCTAGAATATTGATACTGGTTCCCGCTTGTGCATCGCGATCGCAATACATATACGCAGGGTTTGGCCGTGAGGACTAACACATTTGACACGCCTCCCAAAATTCAGACTCCAAATGTACGTACCTGAAATTGGACATGCGAACATAGCAACATAGTTTTTTTGCAAAAAGTTTCATGTGTGCGTTTTTTTTTTTTTTAAGAGCTTGAGTTAGAAGTGGCAAAACAATAAAAATAAATCAAAAACGGCCATGTTGATTTAACCTGAGACTGGGGTAGAGAAGGATAAAAATTGAGACGTCGTCCTGTCTATTTTCTGTCCCTTCTACGTTTTGATGCTTCTTCTCTACCCCATTCTCAGGTTAAATCAACATGGTTAATATTCACCAGCTCGCCTGCACCCTTACGATTTTTTCAAAAACGGCGGCCGTGCATTTCCTATGTCCATATTAGATGTTCATCGTCTGCATACTGGTGTGTGAGTTTGCCCCCAGGTGGTTGTTCATGTATTTCGTTAAGAAATATTAATTATTGTGATTGCCTCAGTGATTGGCACCCTCTGCTATTGGTTTCTAGCGTTTTTGTGGTGAGCAAGCCATCCAGGAGCAAGCTCATGAACCAGTATGCACACAACAAACAGGCTGGTATAGGATGTGAGAAATACACAGCCTTCAATTTTGCTTTATTTTTAATATTTCACTACCTCAGGATTGAACTCTAAAAAATCAACATAAAACTTCTAGCAAAACTATGTCCACGTGCCGAATTTCAGGTATCTGTGTTTGGAATTCGGATTTTGCAATGCGTGCCAAATGTGTTAGTCCTTACAGTTTCACTCCTTATATGCGGGTTTATCAATCAAGATTTTGCTGCACCCGCCGTACAAACGTGTATTACCTTTTTTTGTGAAAATGGGCATTCATAAGTTAATGGGGGGGGGGGGGGGGTGGGGGGGGAGGGGTGACTTATAGATTATAAAACACGGTACAAGTGAAATGTCAAAAATACCAAAAACTGGAAAAAAAATGTTTTTTTTAATTTAATTTATTTTTAATCAGATGTTGCTTCCTTTATATGGCCTTCCAATTGTTCAGAAATAACATGAATCCTAGATCTCAAGTATAGATGACATTTACAATTGTCAGTCTTTTCGACGGGTCCGTGGGATTTTCTGAAAGAGTGGACACATCCAGCTACTTTTTTCGCCCTGGCTTCTCCAAACCCACGTCCATCCCGGCTGACTCCTAATGTCGGCAATCCGCCTCTGGTGCTTCCATTTTGCCCTAGGGAAAGCTTATCCTATAGCATGTAACAAAGAGATTTGAGACCAGGTAATCTAAGGACCATGGTAATAGCAACCTGGTCTATGACTATACTCGGTGTCATCTATTCTCTGCTATGCTGTCAAAGGTACTGCAGCCCACACTGCTGCAAGTGCTTGTTTCTTCATCTTGCATCGCACTCCACGCACTCACTGAAGTAGCTTTGACAGCGCTGGAGTGCAGCGGAAGCCACACTACCCTTGACAATCAGCACGAAAAAGTTGACGCCAAGTAAAGGATTTTTCTTTTTATTATATATATTTGATAGCATTTAGAGGGCTTTTTTATTGTTTATTTCAATTTCGGCATTTCTACAATGTTACTTTTGTTGAATTCTCCTTAATATTCCGCTTTTAAATTTGCTCCTTGCAGTGCCCTCTCCAATTCAAAATAAAAAGGAATATCCTCGAACGAATGCGTCGAAAGACCCAAAAACCTATTTTATTTGCGAGCAGTGTACACATTGGGGTCCTTTCCGTGCTTCATAATATAAATTATGCCATGTAATCAATTCGGGCTTACTCGATCAGGTGTTTGTTGCATTTAAAAGACCCGTTCCTATCTTTCCACGAGAGCCGGAAAGAAACTAGGAGCTTCAGACCTAGCTTGCGGTTAGAGAGTGTTTGTCACTGACAGTGTGCGGTTTGTTCCTAGCTCCTGCTTCTGCACAAGCACCGCCTTGTCCTCCTTGTAAGAAGATCCGATCGGTGGCTATGATCGCCGTCAGTACGAGAACTGCAGGGAGGTCTTTCGGTCGTCCGGCATCCGGCGCAACCTTTCTGCCTTTGACGATTTTTCGCCGTCTCGCGAGCTCCGGGCGTGCACGTGCGGGCGAAGCGCAACAGAATCCGACGACCGCATACCGGAGGGTGGGGCTTCCGAAGGGACGCTCTGGTCCCCTTGTTCCGTCAAAGACTCTAGCGCGACACACACGTTCGAATCGGTCTTTGTCGCGACCCGTAAATACCGCGACGTCGGTCAGTCGTCCGGTGGGACATAGACGACGAGCCCCCTTTGTCGTACTCAAGAATTAAAAGGGCGCAAAGGATGAGAGGCTGGACGAAGAGGGAACACAGACAGAGCACCATCCGGTCTTTCATCCTTTGCGCCGTTTTAATTCACGAGTACGTACCAACTCTCCTGAGCTTCAACTTTGGCCCCTTTGTCCGCCGTCAGATGTCATACCAGTTGCTGGCGGCCTAAGTAGTGCAGGGCTTTGTTCTGTCATCAATCTCATTGGTTGCGGAGTAGTAATAACTGTCGCGACTCTCTATGTTTTGCAATTCTTAAACCCTTTGGGACTATAAATTGGAGACGGGCGATAATGAAAAGTATTGCTTCTTTCTTTTTAGTAATTATTGTGCATTTTATTAGTTGGTAAAATTTTACCGGTGTTTTAGTGTGAGCTCTAATTGGTTGACCTTTTTCCAGGATGCTTAAAAGTACCGGACAAGGCCGGCCGCAGCCGCCGTTGTTGGAAGCGCCCCAGCCCGTTTCCGACTGGGACCCGCTCCAGATGCTCGTCGACGTGGCGACCGAGGCGGCGTCCTTCAAGCGCACGTCTACGGTGGTGAGTAATTTTGTGCGGCATATCCGCCGTGCGACCGCAAGTCGGAATATTTGGGGACCCCATCATAAGTGGAGTGTGCAGCTCCTGCCCCGACGCGTGAGCAATCTGCCGCCACCCATTCTTGTTCTCCGTTCAAATGCTCGTCGTTAGTGCAGAGTTTTCGGCCATGCGAGTTAAACGAATATTTGTTCCTTGGAAAAGTAAGTTGGTCGCTTGGTGTATCCATACAAGATATGGGACAGAGATGGCCAAAGATTGTTTCAGAGAATGAGCTTACCTGGGTTAAAGGGTACTCCAGTGTTTTGATCGTGGTCACCGATTTGACTGAAAATTGGGTAAAGACACCAAGAAATGTCGCTGAATTAGTCACCCAAATATGAGGCCAAAATAAGTTTTGTTCCCAAAGCTATTGAATTTACAATTTCGGTCCTCACCCCGTTTTTTAAGCTGAAAGTCTTCACTGGAAATAATAAAAACGTGATGCCAGCAGAAGGCAAGAGCCCACTCTTCGGTCTGTAGAAATTGTTCCCAACTGATTGCAAGCAGTTTCATGGTGTTAAGTGAATGCTTTGGAAGCTCGCTCCAACACCCGTGCAACAGCATGAAAGAAATGCTTGGTATACAGTCCAACCCGCTTATAACGATACCACATATAACAATGTATTGCATATAACGATCAGTTTCTAGAGTTCCTAGACTAGAAATGATCAGTTTCTAGTGCGGATGCAACGATAATCGGTTTAACGACTGAAATTTCGGGTTTTTTCATTATCGTTATAAGGGGGTTGCTCTGTAGTCTATTTTATAGACTGCCTGCTCAACCTGTGAGCCTACCTGCTCTTGCCACCATGGCATCATTTTCGTTTGCCGATTTCACAAGAACTATTTCCGAATTTCGCAATACTAAGTTCCATACCGGAAAGGGTAAAAGCCAGGGATTCAGAATGTACAGTCAAACCCAATTAACACGAACCTTGGTACAGCTTATTAACTCCCATATTGAACACGCGAAAATGTTTTAACAATATGCATGCAAAATATGTCTCGTATAACAAACTACAGAATGGATGTATCGAATTTCTAGTGCCTTCGACCACCAGCAAACACGCGAGCTCCGGCACTTCCGGCGTTCAGCTTCCTCGCAATGCAGACGGAAGTTTCTCCTAGCACGACATGGAACCTCCACTTAGTTACGCTTAGTCACGCCCTTTCGCTGTACTGCCCTACCGAATTTCAGATTTCATAACCGCTGTGCTTTTCAGCCAATCAACTTTATTGTTACCGGTGGTTTTGAAACTGACGGAATCTGGGCGCGGATGCAGTCAACATATTGCAGACCGAGCCTCGGCATATTGTAAACTTTGTTTCCCTGGCCGTCCTGCAATTCGTAATTTTGTTCTACAATTTGGTGGGGCACGGTTGAAGATGACGAAGCAGCGGCACGCTCTTCAGCTTTTGGACAGAGCGGACATACAGTCGCCGACCGATTTTTCAGACTTCGCAGGGATTGAAAAACATCTGAATATTAGAGCAGTCTAAAAAATCAGCAGGTTAAAAAACTTGCCTTTATTACGTCTAAGCGGGCTTTAAAAAGCCGTAATAGTGCCTTGCTTCAGGTTACTCCTGCGTGCCTTGTTTTAGGTTAGGCTTCCGTTTGCGTTCGGCAACTTTCTGTTAGCTTGAGAATCGCTGCCTTCTTTTATAGTGTTATGGTCAGTCTTGGGTAGTAACGCGTTACTAGTAACGCGTTACTGTAATTTCGTTACTTTTTTGGTAACTTGTAACTGTAACGAGTTACTTTTTGAAAATGTAACTTGTAACTGTAGTTCTATTACTTTTTCTGAGGTAACGATGAAAGTAACGACGTTACTTTTGTCGTTACTTTCCAGTTTTTTATGAATAATATATCACTGAACGAGTACAATTTAGCCATTCTTTGCGCTTTCCAAATTGTCTGTTCCGACATTTCGAGTGTCAAGTTATTTTTTACACAAACTTGTGAATACGTTCTTTCTCGCCAGTCACGACCCGAATATAGCCACGTGCAGATTTGGTGGAAAAAAAAAGTAGTTATCTTTAGCACGCGCTTGTACTTTGTGACTGAACACTTACATCTTGGTATCTTGAAGAACTATCTCTTTCGCGGTTTTTTTTTCTTTTTTCTGCTCAAACGCTTTTTAATCAGTTGAATCAAACATGCATCTCCAATACAGGCGGAGGGCACTGCGCATGTTTCGTATTTTGATTTGCGCCACTACTCCGGTGTAGTGTCAACAGTCGAGGCAAAATTTACTGCAGTTTGCGCGGGCTTTGTTTCTGGCTTGCCGGGTACGAACTGAAATATGTCCAGGGACTCTATGAACCCAGCGCGACCGTCAACGAGCCAGCAATGTGCTAGTGCTACCAAGGATATGAATGTTGACGAGAACAAAGAACTACCATGGCCGGCGTACAGAGAGTATTTTGCTGTTGTGGAGGTGGTTACTAACAACTTGACCGCAGAAAACGGCACTCTGTTGCCTCAACGCCTACCCGGCAATCAAAAACCTGTTCCGGCGAAACAACACAGCAATCCCAACCAGCGCGTTAGACGAGCGCCTGTTCAGCAAGGGCAGGTACGTGTTTGTTGTCAAACAAGGGAAAGTCTCAGACACTAATTTCTAGAATCAACTGCTGCTAACTTACAATATGAAGTAAAAAGCACACTTTTTAATTTTATGCTAATAAACTTGGTGAAAAGCGTTTTCTAGTTTTTCCTAATTTTTTTTTGTGCTATAGAAAAGTAACTGAAAAGTAACGTGGTTACTTTTTAAAAGTAACTGTAACTGTAACGAGTTACTTTTTTGTTGCGGTAACTGTAACGGTAACTTCGCTACTTTTTTCTGAAAGTAACTGTAACTGTAACGAATTACTTTTTAAAAGTAACTTACCCAAGACTGGTTATGGTCGAACACTTTCTGCGCTGCTTAGCAGCAGATTGCGGTGGCAGAAGAACAGATGGGGCATTGACATCCAATCCAGCGTAGTCCGAAAACATGATTCACAGAGTCTAGATGAGGGGCACAAGTCCATATCTGCAATGGCGAATGAACAAAGCAAAGTGGAAGCAACAATGATGTTGATAATGATGCGCATAGAGAGAAAAAAATAAAAAGCCGTACAGCGTCACCTAGCATTATGACTTGGCAGTGTTCAAGTAGCGCTGCCAAACCAAGCCAATCCATGTGCAGCCAACATAAAATCCAAAATGGCCACTTCTCAGTGGTGTTTCCCACTGATCACGCGCGACGATTTTTTCCCCAAATTATAACTTTCAAACTTAAGCTGTCCGAAACGTTGGTCGTGAATATGCACTATTTCTATCAACTAGGTCACGGTTCCCCCTTTATGTCCGAAATATCTAACAAGTCCAAATTATCGGCATACGAAAAATCGGTCGGTGACTGTAATTACTGGATAATAAGCCGAAACAACACTGACAAAACAAAGGAAGATCTAAACAGGACGCAGCATAACTTTCAACGGAATGGTTTACGACGTGCTGGCGAAACACTTTAGATAAGGTCTAAACACGCTGCCTAGGAAACCAACGTCTCTAGTTCCGCATATAGTGAAATTCTTCGTCGGACAATAACATTCGCCATGTTGAACATGGTGAAAAAAATTCCGACATTTTCGCCACGTTCAGCATATCTAGAAGTCTCTGCGTATAACAAACAAATTGTTAAAATTTGTTGTAAGTGGTTTCTGCCATAGGAAATTATTGGGTATACCGATTGAAACCGGCTGTTTTATGCAGTTAGTTTTGAACGGGTCTGACTGTATAGTTAGTTGGGGTAGTTCAAAAATTCAAAAAGTAACAAATTCGGAGCATGAGTTTGCTACCTACGGCAGCTATCTGTAAATGAGACATCCGGGTAGTGTAACAGACGAGAAGGGGTGGCAGTTATTGACACGTGCTCGAAATATCCCGACAAAGGGCCTTTCTGGTTGGTTTTGCGTTCGTTCATCGCGTTTTATTGGCATAAATAAGGAAATTGTGCAGTGCGCCGCAAGTACTCACGCCGCTTTTCACTCAAAAGCATTCTCCGCTGTCGGAAATCGGTTGTTGCACCTTCGCTTTTACCTGCCTCCACTGTCTGCCATTGTGCTGTTCAGACGCCTATTGTTTCCAGGCAATATCAGATTCTCAAGTTTTAGCTTTTTCTTTGGATAAGTGCATTTTTTTAAATTTTGATGAAAAAAATGCACCATCCTTTTTTTCTTTGGCCATCTTCACATAAAATCTTAACGGATGCGTTAAGGAACCGATTTATGCCATACCTTTAATGGGATGGTGAACCGAAATCTGGATTAGAAAAAACAACAATGCAGGAGATGTAGGCCCTACAATCCCTACAACACTACTCGCAAGGCGATATCTCAAATGGACGGCCATACTTTTGGAAAAAAAGGTAGAGATTGAACCAGGCTGATGAGGCGCGTGACGTAGAGATATCTTGTTTCTTCCTCTCTTCGCTTCGCTCCCTCAAGGCGGCAAGGCGGAGAGGATGCGAGGCCGTCCCCTCCCCGTCTCGGAGGAACAAGACGTAAACATTTCTGTCAAATGTGCCTCCTTTTTGTGGGGGGGAAATACGGTCATACATTTGAGATATCGCTGTATGAGTGATGTTTTTGTGTTTGTAGCATCCCGTTGCACACTTTTGACGTGTGTTTTGTGGAATCCAGATTTCGGTTCAGCATCCCTTTAAAGAGCCAATGATCCATTAGACCTGTCCGGTAGGTTTCTTTTTGTGGCACCAAATGTATGAGCGTTGCCATACAGCATACAGCTGTCTTACCTGCTCTTTCCTCGTAGGGAACGCAGTGCAACCGCGTGCCACTCAGGCTCCTGTCGTCTGCTTCGGGCGGCCGAGACGGCTCCACCCAGGTCGCTTGCGCGGAGCAAGTGGACGCGGTAACTTACCTTTCCAGTTTTAAGATTGTACCGGGTGTTTCGCTAAAACAGTGGTTCTCAGCCATCAATGTTTCGCGGACCCCTTGTGGATCGGCGAAAATGACGGAGGACTTCGTTCGTGGTGAGGGGAAGGGAAAGGTATAGCTTCATTATGATAGTGATTTAATAAATGGATATAACTAAGGGCTAGTGTGAATTAGACATCTATTATAGACATATACACAAGAAAGCTCACCTGAAAATTTGAATGTTTCTTCTCAATCTGAGAAAAGACAACTTTTATTGCCGAACTTGACTGATGAGGCTGGGCTTTGCGGACCCCTAGAATCCCTTCGCGGACCCCCATTTGAGAACCACTGCGCTAAAACATAAAACGTTTCTTGTTGAAAATTATGCATCGCATAGAAATAAGGTGCTGGTCGCCGGGGCCCAGTTATGAAGCTAGATAATGTTCTAGAGAAATCGAGTTCTAAATTATATGTGCATAATAAACTTTTTGATGAGCGAAGCTTGCGGGGTTTGGTGCGTGCCGCTCACCCGCAAAAAGGACAGATGGAGAATACTCGGCAAAAATGCATCTCTACTTGGCCTGGCAGCTGGCTACCCCACAATCTAACCAGGTTGTTAAAACTAGGAACTTAATGGGTAGCAATTAAAACCACTAAATGAGTCAATTTCGGAGAAAATTTGGAGCAACGCTTCGTTCTTGGTCCCACGCATTGCATCCACCTTCTACTTTATGCACGACCACCCTTCCCCAATGCTCCAAGCCTTATTAAAATATACGGATTGAGTGGTTTCTAGCTTCTAAATTGAACCATGTCTATCTGTTTTTACTAAACAGAATTTAATTATGCATAGCTTATTTGGGACAATATTGTCCAAAACACTGCACTTGCGAAATGGGCTTCTTGACAGGGATCTATACGGCACCAGTCAGTTTTTGCAGATACAGGTTGGCCGATATTGAGTGGAACGCAGAGTAGATAGGTTACCTTACTTCTGTTTCCACTTTATGTTGCTCATTTAGGAGCGCTAATAAGCGAGCTAGTGTAAATAATTTTTTTGAATTTCTCTTCTAATTATAGGGCACGAGCACGGAGGATGACTGGCTACGGCAGACTGGTGTCCTTGGGCTTGAGTCACCCAGGGACGCGAAGCATACGTTGCAGGAGTGTAGCGTAGTGACAACCGCTTTCGGTCTGTCGCCTAGCCCAACACCTGGGACCAGGTACAGAGAGAGTGCTGTTACGACTGAGGACAAACTAACCGCCTCTTTAATGAAGCTTAGGATGAAAAGTGTGTACTAAAATTGTGTTATAAATCCTTTAAAAGAGCAAATGCACAGCCGTGTCTCGGAAATGCGGTCACCTCCATTCCATCCTTCCCCACAAATTGTCCATGTTGTGAGTTATCTATGATGAGACAAAAACGTAGCAGGGTGTTCCTATTACCGTGTTTGTTTCATATTAACGAGACACGACTGTATTTGAGTGCCTTACACCTATAGGGTTCCGCATTTTTTTAGTCTTATGTTCGAGTGAAATCGGAGTTTATTTGTTGGCCTCAGATTTTGAGTTTCTCTAGCTTTCATTTATCAACCGCAGAATTCAGAGTTTTGGGATGTTTTCAGTGTCACTAATCTAGGTTGAGATCATCAGCCGGGAAATATATTGGGGCAGAATGTTTTCTGTAATAAAAAGCCTGAGATTGGGAATTAAAAAAAAACAAAAAACCTGACGACCACACACAGGGTTTCAAAATTTATTAATAATTTTAAAACTTTTTTTTTGGTTATTCCCAGTCTTGGGTTTTCTTATTATGGAGTTCATTCGCCAGTTTGCCCACATATTTTCACTTTCATCTGAATTTTTATAGGCAGCCGAGCCTTCCACGGTATTGATAAATCTGTCAAGAGTAAGAGCGTGCAGCTAATTAAATTTGCTCACTTATCTCAGTACAAGGTTTGTTCAGCTGGAGGCACCAACTGGGATTGCGGTGCTCAGCAATTTTTCTTCGTCACGCAAGAGACATTGCATAACGAGGACTTGGTTCGGTAAAACAGCATTTCAACACCGGCAAGTGTGGACGCATCTTTTCTCGGAAATAAAAGATGGTTCTGCCACCGGTAGCAAAACATGTGTCCCTGCTACTTTCTTTGTTACTTCAATTTTTTTTCTGTCGATATAAGCTAAAATTTGACATCTTTCACACGTGCCCAGCAAGTGTAGGTTTCGATCGGAAGCATCCACGGGAGCCTTGCAAGCCAAGAGGAAAAATGACACTAGTTCAGTCATACTGACGAAGACCCCGGAACTTGGAATGTGTTGAGAATGAGCTGGGCACATGTAGTGTGCGTATCACGTCATGAGGTGACATGACTGATGTCGTGCACCGTCGCAGTGTCAGTCATATGATGTCGTGGTGCAATGATGACGTCGAGCTGGCGTCGTGGTGATGTATAACATGACGTCATTCTGTAACATGACGTCATGTTGTCACGTTAATGTCACGATGACATCCCGTGACATCACCTCAAAGTGACATTGTCGTGATGTCGCAGTTTTCATAGATCATTCTTCACATAGGTTTCGGCCTATACAGCACATTCTGTGTTAAAATCTGCCGGTTCCTTGCCGCATACTGCAAGTGAACTGCGGGAACGGTCGAAGGCGCCGTACACTGCTGCACACAGGATACACACTAGCAATGCAGGGGTGGAACGTCTGCGCCATTTTGCGCCAGACGCATGTGTCTGCGCCGTCCTGCGCCATGTTGCAGAAACTGCGCCACAGCCAATACCTCGCGCCATTATGCGCCAAATCGCAAAACGTGCGCCAAAAAACTTTTTATTTCGTCTTAGTTTTGGTTTCTATCGACTCGATTGGCAACAATGAGGGCGTTTAGCCTGGTCGGCCTTGTAATCCTTTGTTTTGTTTATTCCCCCTGTCTATCCCGAGTCGGAAGCGCGCGAAAAAAACTCGGATTCTAAGCGCTACACCACCTGCGACTGGATTGTTATTCTTCAACCATAAGCGGTAGGGCAAGCCGGCCGAGGTGAGGTCGAGTCGTTAAGCATCAGATTGCATGAGGCTCTGCGGCCCGGAATCCGGACGTCATCCAGTCGAAAGCAAATGAGCAAAAGATTCCTTTTAGTACTTCATCCTTAGGAGTTGGAACCGCATTCTCGCAAGATAAATCGTGATTCGATAGAACTGAAACGCGGTCCGATCCGAAACCTTGCCGGCCAGCAGCTCTACTTATCTGCTCGGCGTACTTTAACCTTGCTCCTGCTTATCGCTTCAAATACGATAACTTCGTTAATCGTAGCCTGCTGCTTCGATATCGAGTTGCACAATAGGATAAACTCGAAATTTGTTGCCCTGCTCCTCCGTGCAACTTCACGTCCATTGTTTACGCTCGTCACGTGGTTCGCACATATAATTACTATGTCAATCACGTGCGGGTTGTGCGATAAGTAGTGCTGGTTTGCATTTTGAGCAGCCGAAAGCCACTAAGAAAATATTAAGGACGCTATCTTCAGAAACATCAGGTACTAGGTTTTTGATTCTCATTAAGGCTCGCAAAGTTTCAAGTTTTCGCATCTATTACACTGTTATCCCATCTACCTGGGTCCCTAACCACTGATGTTCATCTCTGCTCCTAAGCACAATTGAAATTGCTCCAGTGCTTGTCTAAGACACAAGCTGAAGTGCAATGCAAACTGATCTGAGCTGCTCCTAGCCTGCTCCAGAATGTAGTTTTAGCTGCTCCCAACCTGCTCTAAAACAGCTGTTTCAGCTGCTCCTGTGGCTGCTCCCAAGTACATTTCATGAGTTCCACCCCTGCAATGGCATCACATGACCCTACAGGACAGTCCGGCGCCGACCCTACAGTAAACTCGCCTCAAGATCCGCCTCGAAACCTTGCTAAGGACGACTGTTCCCGTAAAGAAGCTTGCAGGGCATGTTGCACTTTGGGGAAATTTTTTTTAACCCTAGCTGGAAATACTTTTTGTGCGAAAGAAATGTTTTGGAAGTTGACTTTTTAAGCCTTTGAGTGCTGGGATTTTTTTTTTCCCACTTGCCAAATGCAAATTTTGGTTTCAGTAGCAGTTTAGCGTGCTTCATGAAGATTGTTTATTTATCAGACACACTTATCCATGGGCAAGGAAGTTTTTATAATGTCTATGCCTCCAGTTTACATTCTCTTGTATATTGTACTTCTCGAAATGCGGTACTATTCAAAGTGGCACCTTGACCTCGTGCCCTGAGGTCACTCTTTTTACGCTGCCTCAGAATGCATTTTTTATGTTCTGAATTTTAATTCTCTTCTTTTTAGGAGGTCTGAGAGTTCAGGATTAATTAGTTTTTCATGAAGCTTTAGGTTAGACGGCATAGATTCGCCACTCTTAGAACGAAGGAGCAAACTGAAACAGACTGAATCAATGAAAATGTTTTAATTGATGAAAAAAGAAAAGATAGTTGCACTGCAGCATGGTCTGAGAAAAGAAGAAAACTTAACATTTTACTGAGGCCCGTTTTCCTCAGATGGGAGGCTGCAGATCTCGGCATTCAGAGTCTTCTTTCAGAATTGTCTTTAGTCTTTATCCTCGCTTGCATGCCTTATGGCTTGCCCTGGGTTCTAGTGTTGCGAAAGTTTCCTCCCTTTCTCTTTCAAAGTGCTTACACTTCCATAAAAGGTGATCGTGTTGGGTGGCGTCCTTTGTCTGCAAAGGGTGCACTCTGGTGGTCCTGGTGTGAACTCGGGATATTGTCGCATTTTTTTGTTTGGTTCCCAATTCTCGAGGAGGTGCAAGGTTATGGCGACGAGTAGAAAATTCCCACAGGGGACACCGCAGGACGAAATACTTTGTCGATCGCTTGCTCGTAGATGGCGCTACGTGTAGAAAAGAAATGGACAGCCCAGTTGGGAGTGGCAGGTAGCGAACCGAAACCGAGTTGCAAGCATGCTCGGGCGCAACAGTCGGAGTTAACGACGAGGTGAACTGCGCAGCAAAATAAGAAACGGCTCTACAATGCCTGGAATGCGTCCCTAAAAGTAGTCCCTCGACGACGTCGTACAAGTGCCACGCTGTTGCCAACCGCAATCCGGGCGGTGTCGCAGGGGTGGTGGTGGATGGGACGGACGCCTGTCCTGCTGTTGGTAGCTCTTCCACTTGAGGGTCCACGAAAGTTTTGGCAGCCACAAGTTGGGACTATGCAGCAACGCTCAACTGCTACTTTTTGTTGGGACTTTTATTGCCAACCTCCAAAATCGCGACATTTGACGGCACAACGCTCTGGCTTTTGTCACGCTGTCTGCCGTCGCTTTGGGACCGCTTTCACCGTACGGGCGGGAGGGGACGCCGGACACATCGGGGGTAGACGCGTCTTGGGCGCCGCGAGGGCGCTCTGGGAAACCTGCCGAGTGACCCCGGGGTGTCGTGGCTCTTTGTTGCGCAGCCACCACAACAACCGGCTGAACCCGAGCTTGCCAGTGTCTTTTGCCAACCTGCCCAACAACGCCCAGCTGGAACTGCGGGCGGGCGCCAACCCCGCAGCCGTGGGGGGCCACGCCAAGGTGGACATCTGCCTCCAGCTGGAGTCCGGTGAGCGGCTCGTGGCCCCGTTCCCGTCGTCTGCTTCCCTCCTCGACGTCGTCCGCCACTGGCCGGACAAGACGTGAGTTTCGAAAGACGTTCCCGGCACGGTGGTGGGAAGAAGAAAGGGCAACGTACTGGCTCGAGCCGGTTAAACAAGAAAATCCCGAGTGAAGCTGGGAGTCGCAGTCGACTGCTATTCGGGTGTAAAGAAAAATTTCTATAAATAAGCCAGGGAACAGTGTGCCACGAAACTTTTCACTATAGTGTTTTTAGTTGTCATATTTATTGTACTCAAATTTAGCGAGTATATATAGGTTTCTGGAACAAAAATGCACGAAGAGAAACACCTCATTTTTCTTATTCACGGTAGGAAAACTGAAGGCTGCCGTTGGGTTGACGCCGCCACACACGTGCGGCACAACACGGTACGAAAACCTGAAAGGTTCATCGAGATTAACACCCAAAACAGACCCTGCAGATCCGAGCATGTGTGGTACGACATGTGAGTAGCGGCGTCGACCCAATGGCTTGCTATCGTTTTCTTCCCGCACGTAGCGGGAAAAAAAGGTTTCTCTTTTTTTTTAGATCTCTCCAGAAATCTACTCTCGTGAAATTTGAGTATTATTAATGCCCTATTTAAAAACACCTTTGTGAAAAGTTCCATGGCACTGTGTTTACTGGCTTATTTATACAATATTTTTTTTGCCCGACTTGTGCTTGAGTACACCCGGTAGGAGATGCTGGCTGAGCATGAGTAAATGCTGAATCCTCTAGAGCGGGGGTTCTCAAACTTTTTGATACCGAGGAACCCCCGCCGGTCTCGGCATTCATACGATAAAGCAGTAACGCAATGCAGAAGCCTACAGACCTTGTAAACATTAAAGCGCATACAGGGGAGAGACAGCTGTGCCAATTGCACCATTTTGATACTGCATTCACAATTTCCTGCGCCTGGCGGTGCCAAAAGCGTGAAATTGACCAAAATTGTGCCACGCTGCACTCAAGATCACAGTGACGCTAGGTTCAACGGAAAGTGAAAGCTCGGTATTCCATTGCCAGGTGGCGCAAGCCGCTGCCCGATTTCTTGGTTCCGCCCTGTCCATTTATCTATCCATCCGATGGATTCGATGTGCTTATTCGTGATAGTGACAGTATCTAAGTATATTTATATCCATATTAGTATATAAGTATTTAATCCATACATACTAACCATCCTACCGTTGCATCATACATCGTATATGCTGCGATGTGCGATGCAACGTAGCATGTATCATTAATGGTGCCAAACCATGCCCTTTCAATCTCTTTGTGTAATTTCAGGTATATCACCGTAAATTTCCATTGAACACTTTTCAACACTTGTAGTACAAACCTACTTTGCCTGAATTGTAACTCATGGTACAACTGGCTGAGATGCTTTCTTAATGGGAAACTGAAGCGGTTCTGTATTTGAGTAAAAGCAATTAAATTGTCTTCATTTGGCGTCTAGGATTACGAAACTAATGATTATTTTTCAATTTGGTGCACGGAGGCTGCAGAAAACCATTTTCAAAGTATACCGCTGAGGCCCCTCCTTCCTGAAGCATTACGTCATAAAAGGAGCTTTCGGTATCTCTGCTCTCGTGCATCTTCAACGCCCATCAAAGCTATGCACGCATACTCTTGATATTTTCAGAAAAGTAATTAAAATGACTTTGTGTCTGGTGTTAGGGTGGGGGAATATACTTGGCGAGCTTGGAATTGCACGTGCTGCCCACACAAGCGACACACTCTTGGCCGCCGAAAGACCTTTTGTGACGTAATAACTGTTCGAAGGTATTTGCATTTTCTCGCTTTTAGTTACATCTTCAGGGAAAACGAACATGATATTCAGATTTACGGGATTCTCAAGAACCTCTTCAACTTCCCTTTTGAACTATATCACAGTTTACTTCTAAGATTCTCCAACAAAAAAATTGTATAGCCTTGGTTCTCCAAATTTCAGATTTTTCTGCTCCTAAGCTGCATCAAACTGCTGGTTTTTCTACTCCAAAACTTGTTCCTAGACAACTTTGTTCTGTCCCACCCCTGCACATACTATGGAGTGCTTGGCTTATAGTTATGCATCAGTGGATGACTCAGATCCACTAAAAAAAGTGTTTAAACTCTAAAAAAAACACTTTACTCGGGGGCAAGGACGGTCGAGGAATTTTGGGAGATTCGGGAATTTCTGTAGATATTTGGAGGATTCTGGGTTCCTGGGAACCCAGTTTGCGAACTCATGCTCCTGAGTTCTACAATATGAGCATTCCTAACCATGCCTAGAATGCATCTTGAACCAAAGCTTCTAGCGTCCTATACCGGCTGTGCATCGAAAGTCTTAAGTGGCAATAAATGATGTCTCAATCTGTTCCAACCTGCACTAATGTTCTTTGTTGTTTTTTTTAAGTGAGGATCAAGGGGCTGATCATGCAATGGACTTGGTCTGCGTTTACATGAGGCAAGAGGTATGTCTAACCATCACTCTTTTTACATTGCTATTTTTAAGACGACGGTTGTTACTTTATACTGTCCATAAAGTCCCCTTTTAATGAACAAAGCCAGTGCCTCTGCTTTCTCACAGATTGAGGCCAATCAGTTTTATCTATGGAGCAAGCCCAGCAAATGATGAGGCATTGTCAATGTTAAATGTAAAAACAAGTGACCTGTACTGGCAGACCGAGCGCGTCATTACATGCCAGAAACCCTGTGCAGATCCCATTTTTTGGACCCCAATCTTTACAGTGTCATTTTGTTTGCTTCTCTCCCCTCTGCAAAGCCCTGATTGGCTCTTTGTATGCTCTGCAGAATACAGTATAACCTCGTTCATACGTTCACGGTTTATATGTTTTCCCAGCTGTTAACATTAGAAAACGCCGGTCCCGTTTTACTTCCATAGAGGTACATGTATTAGTTCCCTGCCTGTTACGTTTGGTTTCCCGGTTGTTAGGTACAAAAGTGTCTGCATCACAGCGCGCCAGGCTGCCACGCTGGCTTCGAAGCGATGCTAGTGGAGCAAAGCCGAACCATGCAGTGCGGGTCACACGGCACGCGTGGGCACGCAGACGCCCTTCTCCCTCTACTCCTTTCCCCCTCTTTTCCGTCTCCCTGTCTCCTCGCTGGGCTTTCCTGAGCTCTGCCACAGCTTTCCATCTTGTCCGGGTGTGACCTTGGAGCACTGCTCGGATGGGGAGCAAGGCTGGCGAGGCGACAATTGCTCATTCTCTCTTTCATCCATCCTTTTCTTTCACTGGCATGAGGCGCACCTGCATGCACGCTGCATTTCTAGTTTCTGTTCCGCTCGATTGTGTGAACCGTGGTGTTTCGTAGTATGTGCACTTTGTGCCCATTGACGACGGTCATGGCATCGCGGAAAAGGAAAGCACTCTCTTTTAAAGAGAAGTTTGATATTCTTCGGACGGTGCATTACGCTGCGCCCAAGTTTGGGGACACAATCGTTTTGCTGGACACCTTGTGTCGCTACGTAAATGTTTACGACTGCGCAGACAGTGAGAGAGGACTGCGGCTCCTGGAAAAACGGCTTTTACTGTTTAACATTAATTCGAAGCGGCAGGCGGATATTACGCGTTTTTTGTGAACATGTCTGATTCCTCAACAGTTCTGTAAGTACACGTAAAATAAACCATTGTATAAGACCTGCTTTCTATCTCATGTAGAGCCCCCCTAAGTGCATTATCGGCTGTTACGTTTTCCCGGATGATACATTTTTTTTCCGTGGTCCCCTGGAAAACGTATCAACGAGGTTCTACTGTGATAGGTTTGCAGGATTTGTTCGTGAAAAGATATACACTCGTGCTAATATGATATAAATCTCGCTCTACTGCAACTAGGGTTTCATTTGCTACCTTCTCCCATCAACTTGGATCACACAGTTATTAGGCGACATTTGAGAACAGGCTCGAAATAGGGCATTGGATGACCGACCGTTATCTTGAGCTATTGGAGGGGCCGCTGTTTCAGGTTGTAGGCAAGGACAAGCTCCGGGAAACCACCTTACAGAACCTTGGCCTCACGAGCGGCAAGGCAGTCATCAGGTGCATACAACCTTTTCAGTTTTAGCAGGCGGTGTTCACACGACGGTGTCGGCATGATGCATGTCACATGACCTGACTTACATAAAACTATGTGACATCATGGTGGCATGTGACATCACAGAGCCATGTGATGCAGTGACACTGTGGAGTCATGACAGGGTACCATACGATGCAGTGTTACACGGCACCATCACATTATTGTGTCACACACATAACAGTGTCATGTCATGGTGTCACATGATGTTAACTGACGTCACTCTTATGATTTAGTGTCACAGTGACGTCCTGGTGTCACACCAAGGTGGCACATAACGTAGCGTTATGCAGCTTCATGATGTCATTGTGTCGTGTTCATCAGTGTCATGTCATTGTGTCCTAAGATGTTATGTCATGTGACATTGCATCACATGAAAGTGATACCATGGCACCCTGGTGTCATGTTGGGGTGCCACATGATGCAGTGTCACGCAGCACCATGATGTCATTGTGTCGCATACATCACAGCGTCATGTTATGGTGTCACGTGATGCAGTGACACCCTGATGTCCTGGTGTCATGTAAGGTGTCACATGACAGCATAGTGTTATGCAGCTTCATGATGTCATTGTGTCGTGTTCATCAGTGTCATGTCATTGTGTCACAAGAGGTTATGTCATATGACATTGCATCACATGAGTGATACCATGGCACCCTGGTGTCATGTTGGGGTGCCACATGATGCAGTGTCACGCAGCACCACGATGTCATTGTGTCTCATACATTACAGTGTCATGTTATGGTGTCACGTGATGCAGTGACACCTTAATGTCCTGGTGTCATGTAAGGTGTCGCATGACCCAGTGCTGCACAACACCATGATGTCATTGTGTCACATACCTCACAGTGTCATGTCATAGTTCCACATAATGTTACGTCACCGTGATGTCATGCTATCGAATGACGCAGTTTCACATGACACCATGACCTCATGGTGTCAGGTGATGTTACGTCATGCGACGCATTGTCACACAACACCGTATTGTCACGTGACATCAAAGTCTGTCATGCAAACTTTCCGGAGATAACTAAGACGTCCCTTGGCAGGCTTCTGCGGCGACCTGCAGGTACGGCCGGCCAGCAAGCTCACGTGAGTCGGCACTTTGCGGTTCCTTTCAAGAAGGAGGAGGGAGCGTGCCGAGAGCATGTGCAAAGGCAGAGTCCATCCAGAGAAAAGAGTCCACCTCCAGCCCCGGTGGCCACGGTGACTCCGGCTAGAGCGCAGTCCCCACCAAGGGCGCAGAGTCCAGTATCAGAGGTAGGTGTAGACCAACACCTCCTAAAGTGTCTTAAGGCGAGGCATAGAAAATATTTTTATAAGTAAACCAATGAATGGAGTGCAATTAAACTTTTTACAAAGGTATCTTTAGGTGGTGTCTTTATTATATTTAAATTCAATCGGTGTGCGTTTCAAGGAAAAAATGTAAGCCTAAAAATCTCGCATTCTTTTTTATGTAGAGGGATGAAAACTCCAAAACCTGCCTTGTTGATGCTGCTCCCACTCACGCTCAGATCTGCTGGATCTGCTTTCGAATGTTTGCCTCAGAGAAGCTTTTATGTTTTTGCTTTGTGTTCTGCCCATAGAGTTATTATAATGTATGCTAGAGGTTCAACTGGCGCTAGTGTGCTGTTGCAAATTGAAGCAGACAGCAAGCAGTCCAAAATTGACTTCCGGTAATGCATTTCTACGGAAAAAAGCGAGTGCATTTCATCTCTGCGCTCGATTATAAGAGCAAATATCACGAATAATTCGTACCTCCTATGCACATTGGAACATTTCCTTGACATGCAGATGAAATAATTGGTCAGTTACGGCATTTTTATTTTAAAATCGTGGCATGAAAAACGGTGCTAAAACCACTTCGTACATGTATTTATGTGCACTGTCGGACACTGTTAGCGCGAACACGGCGCCGGCGCTTTCCAGAATGGGGGCATACGTGCCAAACGACCGAAGGACATGTAGAAAACCAAGAGAGACGGCAAGAACTACGCAGTAACACTGGATAAGTAACTCCTTGTGCTTGCAGACGATCAAAATAAATCGAAAGTCACGTAATATAGTCCGATTTGCAATAAATAAGTGGTGCTTTATTCTTTCTGCTCATGAATACATGCGAAGATGCTTGTTCTGTGTTCAAATCATCACCCGCACGCTCCAAATCTTTGCAAATAGGGGGAAGCCAGAGAACAGGTGCACGATAAAAACTTCCCGACATAGGAAATAATAAGAAAACACACCTTTCGTAGTCCGCGTCCTTTATTCTTTACGTTTCAAATGTTTTTTTAACCACTCGTAAAGATGCACGACAGGGGCATTTTCATATAGTGAGAGGACAGGCATATTAGCAATTTATAAGCACCAACGGAATGCTGGCGAACTTTGAACACACTCTACATTCCTTTCGATTATTATTTTGCTTGGAATCGTCGCTCGTTTCTACATACCTGCCATGAAACAGGTTTGGGCCTGAAATATAGCGAAGTTTAACATCGTTCAGTGGTAAAGGAAAAATGCTGTAACTAAAGCAATTACACTTTCACAATATTGATAAAGGTACATACTATCCGGTACAACCAAAATAAGAAAAGTTATTACTGTTATTTTCCGGCGACGAGACAAAATTCACGCGCATTTTCCCATAGGAATACACAGGAAGACTGGAAAAGTAGACTGCATGCTGTCTGCTTCAATTTGCAACCGAAAGTCCCGTAGACACTAGCGCCAGCTGAGCCTCTAGCATTTATTATAATAACTCTATGGTTCTGCCATCTGTGAGTAGCACCATCAACCGGAACATGCTCAGAAAACTTCGTAGATAAACATCCAGCGCAACTTGCAGCACGCCGTAAAATTTGTCCGTAAAATTAAAAAATAATAAATGATTTTGTCCCGGCCTTGTGGTGCAAACCAGTTTGTTGTCAGTGTTTTCGTTGGCCTCGCAGAGGAAGGTAGCCACAAAGCCGGCAATGGATGCATCTGCCGGCCACACGCTGGGGGGTGCAGCACCCAAGGCAATCTCCATGGCCCACGCCCCGCCGAACGGTCCTCCGGCCACGTCCGCCTCGGCGCCTTCCCAGAGTGAAAAGCCACTCATGATGAAGGACGAGGACGTCAAATATGTGCGTTGCTCTGATGGACTCGACTAGTTTCTTATTACCGTATTTACGCAATTGTAAACCGACCCTTTTTTTTTTTAATTTTTAAAGATTTGAGTTAAGGAGGGATTGACTCATAATCAGAACCAAAGGATTCTACCACGGACAAAGCCTAAACAGTTGTGACATCGAGAACTCCCCGGTTCGTTACGGGTTCAGCTGGCTGCATGTACCTGTAGCATTGCTCCATTCTGTGCGCTCGATTTACAATTGCTTGTTCTTTTTAAAGGGACAATGAAGACGATTTTATTTTATTTTTTTAAATGGTGTTTTAATGCTTCTTGGAAATATAGCATGCCGCCCAATTTTTTGTAGGCATTTATGACGCGTATTTATGTGCCTACGAAAGAAGTAAAGAAACCGAAACTGAACCATCTCCAGTCTCGTTTCTGGGCCTCCGAAAACGGAGGTGACGTAGGGAGTGACGTCAAGTGTGAATAGTCGGTATCGGTAGTATTTAGGAGATCAAGACTCTGGTTACCGCGGTGGGTTATAGCAGCGCGGTGGCGCGGTCGTTGCGCCGACTCTGTCAACATGGACGAATGGCGCTCTCGCGAGCGAGTTCGAGCTTCCGTTCAGTGACCGAACACCAACGGAACGGGAGTATGTGTGTGGCGGCCTCTGCCATCACCCGACGGAGACCGCCCAGCCGGCAACGAGCGGCTTGCATGCCGAAGGACGGACGCGGGGGAGATGCCGAGGGGAAAGCTGCAGCGATCCCGCCGTTCCGGGATCCTGTTCCTCCGCGGACGTCCTCTTTCGTCGTCAAAGAACATGAACAGCAACCCACACATAAAAACTAGCGTCGCCCGAACGAATACTGGTCTTCAGTCGACCGTTAGAACAGCCATCTAGAGCTACCATTTTGCAAAATCTTTCGAGTACCGTGTTCTTTTTTAATTTTATTTTGTTGGCCCATAGTTGCTCGTTGCCGGTTTCGCGTCCAGCGTAGCAATGAAAAAAACAATGATGCGGCTTTATTAACGGTCTAGTAATCATTTCCGATCCGACTTTACACTTTTGATGGTTATTCAAGCGGAAATTAGAACAGTATTTCTAAAAATCGCGAACCAAAACGTGACCGAGGGCACGTTTCTCGTTTCGACCAATCGCTGACGCGTCTCTTGTGACGTCGCGGTCCTTGGCCCCGCATCGGTCACGTGAGCTCCGCTTCTCCTGGCTTCTCCCGCAACTCTTGGGGCGTCGCCCCAGTCGATCCCGGTACGATTGTTACCGCGACTGTTTAATTGATTTGCGCGGCACACAAGCGCCGGTTTCGGCTGAAATTTGGGCAACGTGGCCTGAGACGTGCCTGGAACCCAGTTCAATCGCCAAAAAGATCTCCGAAATCGCCTTCATTGTCCCTTTAACTGTGCGAACGAATATCAGGATTCTGGTGATCACTATTCGCAAATCAGCACGGGTACATGGCAGCGAATGGCACGCAATACACCGCACTGCGGGGCTGGCGCGGCGATGCGCAGCTTGCCAAAATCCAGGGCTAGCAGCACCTGGTACAAGAGCCACGTTGGAATGGCTGCTGGAACAACCTCGCTCCCCACTACTTGTTTTCTCACGATGCACGGTCGCACGTTTGATCGAGCGTCCAAATCGTGCGACTCTGCTGAAGTGCCAGCTACGTTTCTCTGTATCGATGTGCATGGACCGGGCGGACTAGGTTTTCGCTGCTCATTTACGGCCACTCTTCGTCGGAAAGAAACCAGCAGCTTCGCCACTGAACGAGAGTTTGACTCGTCGGAGCGGCTGGTGCGCCAGTGGCGTCTGCAGCGGTGCGGGATCTTTTAACTGCGACGGCAGTTGGAATGGGCTTCTGCTGGCCAACGTCCGGATGGGTTCAGGTGTCCTTCGCAGTTAGAGGCCAAGCTCACAACATACGTCGCAGAAATACACAATCGGTCCTCACCCGTGACGCGCAACGCGATTACCGAGCGAGTTGGGAAGGTGCATTTGATGGGGTCGTTTGCGAAGTGCGAGTTTTCGTTAGATGACGTCAACGATGGGAATGACGGCACCAGTGCGGACGAATCATAGTCTATAGTTACAGAGGGAGTGAGAACGACGCAAAAGAGTTTTGGTTGCCCTGCCTCTAGTGCAAGCTCTCCAGTTTTGACAATGGTTTGGCATCTTGTGCGCCTTGCGCGTGCATGCTCAGCCAAAGCACGCCAAAAAGGCATCGAGCGCACTCTGGGGGCCAGGCACTATCAAAATCTTTAAAAGAACATAAAATGCACTTTTTTTTTTGTTTTGTTCACACGGAATCTAAGGGGGTCGACTGACAGTTGTGTAGGTACAGTAAATATTGTCTGTATCGTGTGTGCGACATATGCCTGCATTGGAATACTTATAATGAAGTTGTTTATCTCCCTCTCGCGTGTAGCACACTCGAAGGTTCCGTTCATTGAGGGCTATTGTACCTTTAAATGGTTTGTGTAGAGATGACTCGAGGAATGCAAATTTCTAAATAACCGCCCAGAAGTGTGATGACGTTTTCAATTCCTGTGTACAAAAGCTTGCACCCGACTTACTAAGCCCCGAGTTCCAAAGGCAGCATGACGCATAAACACTTGCGGCATAGAAGGAGGAATTTTGTACGTTGCAGAAAGCCGAGGAAATGGAGGGAGTATACCTTCATCTGAATAAGGTGTTAAACCTTATTCAGATGAGTGAATGCAATGAGGCACGAGACAAGCCACGTGTCCTCGCAGGGTGCTGGGCTGCAGCACTGTGGAAGTTGCGCTGACCCCAACAACTTGCCACAACATAGTTTATGCCAAGTATAGTCGGAGGCTTCAAGAAGCTTTCCTCTTCCGAGTCGGGGGAAAATCTGTTGAACGGGAATGGGCAATTCTGATCGCTTTGTTGTAGCCAACATTTTGTCCTCACCAACTTCGTTATAAATGGGTGCAACTGTATAAGTTCCTCAGTCTCAGATTTCAGTCATTACGAACAGTCGCTAGCTAGCTTGTTTTTAAGCATCATTACAGATAAGCCGTCTTGATACCATGATGTTTATGAAATTATTGAGACAGAGTATTGTGGTGTATTCGCACGACAGATCTTTACCTCCAGAAAAAACAGAGTATGTCGTAAAGCTGCGAAGAGGAAAAGCCATGAGAATGAGGAGGCAATTCAGAAAATCTGGGCGACAACCTCGAAACAACAAAGTCGCGTGCAGTTTAGTCACCAGAGTCCCCCTTCCACGAAAGTGCTTGTGACCTTCACGGGCTCATCGAACGACAGGCAGGAAAAAAAAAAAATGAAAGGCACCACCCCACAGCTCATTCCTGCTTACCGTAATCCTTCCCCTACAAAAGGGGAACCGGATGCTACGTCAAGACGACGAATATTCCATAGGCCGATCGCGGATTCTCCACCGCTCCCCGCGGACTCGGGGAATCTATAAAACATCCTTGACGCGGTGCTTGCGGCCTCAAAGCGTGAAGATGTTTAATCCTCCTAACTCTGCCGTGTGAACGCGCCATTAAGGGTGGTGTACTGTTGACGAAAGTGATGAGAAGAAGAAAATAAACAATGTCCTCTGTCGTTTCAGATTGGGCAGCGTAAAGCCGTCCTGTTTAACCTGGAGCACTGTCCTCCTCTCTCCGCAGGTGAGTGCGCTGCTTCGTGCGCCCACAGTTTGTTAAAGGGCCACGAAATGATCTTTTACTTTGGCTGGCCTGTGCTTGGAATGAAAAGTAAATGGGGAAGCGCGGTGGAAGTAACATTGCGCGTAGCAACTGGATACTGCCAAAGTGAGATTTCACATAACGCAAGGAATGTTTGGAAACATTTATTTCAAACGGACGACTTGAAGATTCTTCCTTTGTTGTGCCATTCTTGACGGGACGCCAGGACAGCCCTTTTCACTCTCTTTGCTCGGCACGGCTGACAGGAACCCTCTTGTTACGCTAAGAGGGGAGAAAAAAAGGGTTTTTCCCAACGAGGTAGAGGGCCTTAGAGCAATGAACTGACTGCTGAAAGTGACCCCATTTTTGACAACTAAACACGTGACCTTGTAGTTTTACGTCTTGATTTATTGAAGTACCGCACACAAATAATTGCTTATTGATTGTTTAAAAACAGTAACAACGAGATAAGGTATGTTTCGTTTGTTTTAAGTCCAAAATGTGCTTTTACGACAAAACCTCGGGCAGCTTCGCAATGCTTCCGCTAAGTGCCGTCTGCCACGGTGCTGTATTTTGAGTTTTTATTGGAGCTAGACACTGATCTCTGGGGCTAACAGTATCAAAAAAATAGTTTATCATGTTTTTTTACAGCAATTACAATACAAATGCTGGCTCAGTGTTGCGTAAAAACCTCAGGATTTGGTACAGTTACGTATCGAGTGGTCAAAATTGTAGAACATGGCGGCAGCCAAGTGGGGGTCACTTTTGCCTGGTGAACGGGATACCAGTTTATCGCTCCAAGCCCCTTTATCTTGTTGGTTTTTCCTTAGCGGCGACGACAGCCCACAGGCTCGAAATCTCTGCAAAGTGTCGCCCGTAAAGCTACCGCTTTAAAACTTGTCATTCATTATGCTTAGAATGGGCGACTGTTGTAGAAGGTGTTCTCGAGCGCTGTTGAGTTATAAAACGTGAGGAGGGTGCTACGCCACGGATCGAGTGCCACGACACCTGACGACGCAGCGGCGCAGGAGCATCAAGAGAACGTTCCACGGGATTACAAGAGAAGGACTGGAGTAATGGCTTGGACAGAGTCGGTTGTCTTGTCAAGGAAAAGGCCTGTTGAACAAATTAAACCCTAACAAGTGGGGGCTTTTCCGGGCTAAGAATGAACACCCAAGTCACGGATTTTGTCCAAGCTGTGTTGCGCGGAACGGATGGCTCGGCAGTGCAGCGTGGGCAAGCCACCGCTGAAATTCGGAAACTGTTGTTAGCGGCACCTGAAAATAAATTTTTTTTTATTTGTGATGTACACACTTGTATTTAAATGCTGGCTTTAAAGTTACATATCCAGGCTGTTTGTGAGCATGTTTTGAAAAGCTTTTCCTGTTTTGTAAAATTTTTCGTTGCAACACAAAGTTTTGCCTACAGTATCTTTGGATCTAGAACTTAGACCTGCATACTTTTTGCGGGATTTAATACCTAATAAATCGGAGAGTGCAAGAAGATTACTATTTCTAAAAAAATGTCAGCTACAAAGTTTTCTAATTGGCAAAGACTTTAATGACTGATTTCTAGGCATGTGCGAATATTCGATTTTTCCGAATATTCGAACGAATAGTACACTATTCGGTATTCGCTTCGATCCGAATTCCGATATTCGTAAAAGTTCGAAGTATTCGGCACTAACGAATAGCGGAAGGAAGGCCGATTGTATCTGGTAGTTTCGGTTTCGGTTGTTACTCACGAAAACCGCATCGGCATCAAGAAATAAAAAAATATCCAATTCAATCCAAGACATGCTAAGCCGACCACAAAATCGTGCGTCGCAGCCGCCGCAGCCGTCGCAGCTCCACAAAGAATTCCGAAGTGTGCTCGCTCTAGGTGCTGCGTGTTCGTTCGTATGGCTGAGGGGTCATCGACCGCAGCCGGGAATGATGAAAGTGAAGCCGGTGTGTATCGAAATCCGATATGGAACTACTTCTTGAAAGTGCCACCGGGAAATGAAGCTCGGTGCCTCAATTGCAAGGCAGTGCTGAAAACTCCAACGGGTACGACAACGACCCTCGCAACGCACCTGAAAAGGCACCCTGATTCGTACAAGACTTTCGAATGTGAGCGTCAAGCACGCGGGAGTGCCATCAAACAAAAGAACGGGAGTAAACCGAATCATCAGCAACCGTCGGTAGCCGACAGTTTCAAGCCCAAACTGAAACCGACTGCACCCAAAGTGAAACAAATGACGGCGATAATAGCGAACTTCATTGCTAGCGGAATGCATCCGTACAGCATCGTAGAAGAAAGTGGTTTCGTTGAAATGATGAAGCTTGCCATGCCCGACTACACCGTGCCATCGCGGACGACCTTCTCGCGGGTTGTCATACCGGATCTATTCGAGTCCAAAAAGAAAGAACTAAGAAAGAGTCTGCGAGACATTTTCAGTAGCGGAGCAGAATGTTACTCCATCACGACGGATGGCTGGATCTTGCGCGCAAACAATAGCTACGTCTCCGTGACTTGCCACGTGATGGACAAAGAATTTGGACAGCACGTGCACGCTTTGGCTTGTACGGACATGACGGACTCCCACACGGCGGAAAACCTGGAACAGTTCATCAAAAGTGCTATCGAGGACTGGGAACTACCAGCGCCAGGCACCATGCCGATTTATGTAGTCACGGACAACGCTAGGAATTTCACCTCAGCGTGTGCACGGTCACCGTGGTCTGGCGTGCAGTGCTTCGGACACACACTCCAGCTGTGCATCAGCAGCGCCAAAAAAGAAGTTGCGGGTTTCTCGCAGTTATGTGCGAAAGCTAGAACCATTGTGGCTCGATATAAAAAAAGTGCAAAGGCCCGCGGGCGCCTTATGGAAATCCAAAAGAACATGAAACTTGAGCCACTTGAAGTTGTGCAAGACGTTCCAACACGTTGGAACAGTGAACACGCCATGATGAAGAGGCTTGTGAAGCTTCGCGTGCCCGTCAGTGTGGAGCTGTCGGAATGTGACACAGTGGAGCCTCTCAGTGCAAGTGAGTGGAGGCTCATAGCTGCAGTAGTGCAGGTCTTGCAGCCTTTCGAGCAAGCCACGGCTGAGCTGTCTGGAGACAGCTATCCGACCCTCTCCCAAGTGATCCCCTTATTAGAGTGCACCAAGGTTGTTCTCAGTCGACACTCTACCGATGAAGCAGGATCAGTTGCCTCAAGCCTCATACAAAGCATCAAGACACGATTTCCAGATGGGAAGATGTGTCGCCTTCTAGCCTTGTCAATGTTGGTGGACCCCAGGTACAAGGACGGGTGCTACACTGGAGAGGCAGAAAAAAATGGGCACGCACACTCCTGACAAAGGCCGTCGAGGAGAGCGCATCAGTGGACGAGCCTTGTGATGCAGCCGCCGAAACCAGCGGAGGCATAGGAGACTCGTTAGGAGACACCCTGTGGGATGTCTTCACCAGTCTTAGTTCTGACATGCACCAAAAGCCAGGCCACGAATTCGCTACCGAGTCTGTTGAGTACCTGAAGACGCCCCTCCTTGCGCGCACAGAAGACACCTTGGCATGGTGGAGGTGCAGGGGGAGACATCTGTACCCATCCCTGGTTCGTGTTGCCCGTAGGTATCTCTCGATACCAGCAACCCAGACTAGGAGTGAACGGCTTTTCTCAAGCGCAGGAAGCATTGTGAGCTGCAGGAGGGAGCTTCCCCTCCCTGACCATGTGCAGCAGCTCGTGTTCTTTCATGAAAATCACTGACTTTTCTTGTACTAAGGTTTGATTTGTGCATGAGCTTAAGTTTTGATTTGTGGCTGCGTTGCAGTGAAAATAAATGGTCGGTGAAGTGACCACTCTATAACTTTTGCTAATAATTTTTCCTACAACTATTCGAATTATTCGCTTCGAAAATATTCAAAGCAAATTACTATTCGCTTCGAATTCGCTTCGAGCTAAAAAAACACTATTCGCACATGCCTACTGATTTTTAATTATCGGAAAATAAATTTCAACGCGTGACAACGTGTTCTAAATTGATGCTAAAACTAAAACAGTGGTTTTTTTTTGCGCTCTCGGCTGTTTATAAAACATGCTGACACACTTTGTGCCATATCTTTTGATGGGAGTATTGTAAGAAAATTGGGCGGAAACATTTGTGATAAAGCTGAGGTGTTCTTGAACACTACAATACATAGGAAAAATTGAGCTTATGTTTGTGCTTAGAGCAAGAACTTGAGAGCAGATATAGACTTCACATAAATGATATCAGAAATGGCAGAAAAATGTTCAAGACCAGAATCTCCCCTTAAAGGGCAACTCCGCTTCATTTTTGGTTTTGAAAAAGCAATGCAGTCCTCTTCAGTATCGCCTGGAAAGACCACACGTGAAATCTTATGACGCAGTTCTGTCTAAATGTTTCTTAAACGGTCCGGCAAACTTTGCAACTCGCCAAGTTGCCGAAATCGGCTGACTTGAGCGGGCGAATTCAGGCGCAACCAACAGCGCAGTCAAGGCTACGGTATGGGCGGAGCCAACATTGAGCTAAACGCCATCTACATGGCCCTTTTTTGCTTGTTTTCACTTCTCCGGGCGAGCGTAGCGCATGACGTCAGCAACGTTGCCTCTCGGCGCTCAGCAGTGTCCCCGTGATTGGCTTAACGCGCCTGCGCAGCGCGTTTCTTGGGAGCCGTCCGGCCGCCCGCCGTGGTCCCGCCGTTACCGCCGTCTTCCGCGTCACAAACACGGTCGTCGTCTCACCGATTGTGATTATTGTCTCTCGGAGTTTCGTCCACACTACGGACACCACGTGCGCGCACACTTGTGCCGCAGTTGTGCAGGCGTCGTCGAATGCCGTAGACACCAAAACGTGGCGAAGAGTGCGGTGCAGACGACAGTCGCGCCTGCCACACGCCCGCCACAATCCCGCCCGTCGTTGGGCCGAAGATCACGTGACATCTCGTACCACGTGATGGCCATGTACTTGGCGACCCGAGGCCAATGTTGCCGGGCGGAGCCGAAGTTTCGGTTTCGATTTCCGCTTGTGTTTAAAATCAGATTTAAAAATATATATCCCATTTTTCGCGAAAGCAAACGACGTAGTCTGTTTCACTAGGGCTTTTTAATTCGAAATCAATCATTATCCCGAAATCTTCAGAATTGAGCGGAGTTGCCCTTTAAGGGAGGACACTGGCTAGAGATTTAACTTCTGAACTACCCGTGTGATTGGAATGAAATTTGCAGGGAATGTTTAACTTAAGGTGTGTGTGTACAGTAAAACCTCTTTATAACGAAATGGGATATAACAAATTAACGGATGTAACAAAGCAATCATAATTCCCCTTGCTTGCTAATAGTGGTAAGAAATGACAGTGGCTATAAAAAAGTAATGGTTATAACTAAATAATTATGAGCGCTCCTTCAACTTTGTTATAACAAGATTTTACTGTATTGTGCAAACTCTCAGCGCTCTAGGACAATTTTACATACCTGCATAAAAAGATGTGTCATTCTTTGTTAAGAAATCTATGATATGCAAATGAACCCATTAAGCACCTTTTTGACTGCTCGAATATAAAGTGGGGGATGTGAGACTTTGGGCTATCTAGTTTTTATTACTCAAATGTAAATATTTCAGGAAGAGTCAATACCTCAAAATATGAGATGCATATCTGTCTTCTGTCAGTTTTTACAAACATAGATTTTTCTTAATGAGGACTTCAACTTGAAACAAAATAAAGTAAATAGCCCGATTCCCCAGTAAATTTCAGTTCAGAAACATCTTGATTGTAGTATCAGAATACTTTTACCTTTGAACAAAAGTTTCCTTCGTATGAAATTTGCAGCAAAAAGTGGAACTGAGAAAAATGCATTCAAGCAGTGAACCCCTTTACTTTGTTGCTGCTTCACAATGTGTTGAAAAAATTTTATATTTACATAACTATTTGGCGTACAATTATCAAATTTGGTGTAAGGGTGTATAATTAGTTTCTAAAATTGAAAAACACAAAATTGAAAAGTGAATTTTTTTAAAAAATCTGAAATTTAGGCTTATGTCTTCTTTTAAGACGAGAGTTCCGTTTGGATGCCTCAGTGCACAACAATGTCTGCAACCTTCACTTTCTGCAGAGGAGCCGGACGACAGCTTCTTCAAGCTCACCGTGGAGGATGCCAAGTACCTGGCTGCAGATTACAAGAGGCAGAGGTGCGGAATTTTTTTCACCGTGGCTGGTTCACTGATGCAACTGGCCAGATGAGTTTGGTGTCAGATTGGCGTCTAGAATTAATCAGTGAATCAAATTCTGTTTTCTTGTGGCCCCAAACAGCTGGCATGCCTTAGGGTGTAGGTACACGAGGCAAAAGAAAAATGTGACTGGCGGGTAGTGATGAGTGATATGGTTTTCTTGAACTTTTCTAAATTAGTGAAAGAGCCCATGTAACAGATACTTAACCTGTTGTATATATAAGCTGCACGCATGTCAACGGAGGGCCCGACTATTAAGTTGGAAGGGTAACAAAAAGTTGTGAACCTAGGTATCTTCTTGCCGGGGGCCACGGAATGAGATTCTACACAGTAGCAGGGTAGGACCAGTGTTGGTGGACACGGGTCTGTTCTGAACTCTGTAGTAAATGCATTTGTGCCTGCAGAGCTGCTGTGGTGTTTGAACCATGTCTCCGACTGGTGTGTTTGGCACGTGTACGTCTTGTCTCTTCAATTTTCACCTGACCGACATTGCAGCCGTGCAAAACTGCTACTATTCGCCGCAATCTTGGCGGCAGCGCTGCAGTGGATGTGTGGTGTTTGAAGTGTGTCTCCAATTGCACTTCTTTCCCGTGTCCTCGTTTGTCTTCTCAATTTTCATTTAATGACATCGTGAGAGCATGCTGTTGCCTGTCACGGTCCTGGGTTATAAGTAGGGTTCCTTGTTTTCTGGGTTTATTTTTCATTACATTTGGAGGCTGTTTTTTTTCTTAGTTTATTTTTGCCAGAAATTTGGGGTTTATCTGGCTTTATATTTGTTAGGTTCTCAATTCTTCAAAATTCAGGGTTTAATTTCAATGTTCCCAACTCTTCGAAATTCAGAATGAAAGTAAATAATGTTTGCACAAAGCTGAAACGGTAAGAATGCACTGGTATCGAACGATATTTCTTCATCAACATTTGGCATTTGCACTCTTGCGATTGGCAGTGCTAACTGTCCCACAGCAAACCTTTCAAACAAGTGTTGCTTCATTAAACGTCGGCACTTTGAGATAGCCAAACTCCTGGACGTATTTTATCAAAGCTTCCGCTGCTCTCCCTGCTCACTTGAAATCTACAAGTTCATATCTTTTACTGTTATAAATAACACCCCTCCTCTACCCAAGAAGTACAAAGTCTAAACTGGAAACCAGAACGGTGACTTCTTTAGCCCATAAGAGCAATGACCCATTGTACTGAACGAACTTGGACAAGGTACTAAATGTGAAACCTCTTTTGTCAATAGCCCAAGGCGTAAAAAAAGAAAAGTTAACCCGTGCTTGACAAACATTATTCACAAAATGCCATCCTTTTTGCTTTTCATTTTGCCATCGTGACTTCAAAATTCAGTTTTTCAGATAAATCTGAATTGACAGAAATATTACTGGCGAGCGTTTTTCAGAGTTTTCTCAAATTTATACAGAAACACGAAACCCTGGTTATAAGCCACTGTTCCTCATCGATATTGCTTAGCTCACTTCGGTTGCAGTGGTGCTGCGCTTCAAACTCTACGCCTCGGACGCTAAAGCTAACACTCAACTTCAATACGTTTCGAGGCGAGAGAGAGAGAGACGAGACAGCAAGGAGCATATCATGCACCGCTCGGAACGAAGGAAAGGACTTTAACAAAAATAAGCCAGTGTCGCCACAGGCCAGGAGCGGGAGTTGAAGAGCTCGCACAAGAACAAAGGCTACACTGTATGTGCTTCACTTTGACTACACGGGGCAGCGCCATATTCGGGGTGGGATGGAGCGCAACTACTGCGCCAGTGCTCGGTTCTGAAACAAAGCTTGGGAGTTTCGGTACTTTGGGAACGTTTAGTGACTCTAGTGTGAATCAGCCTTTAACGTTGGTGTGGGTGGGCTGTAGGGAGGAGCTGGAGGAGCGTCCGCTGGAGACCTCGGAGCTACGGCACGCCCGGGCCAAGAGGCTGTCTCTGCAGTACCGCAGTGCCCTCATCCGCATCTACTTCCCGGACAGGCTCGTCCTTCAGGCCATCTTCCAGCCCGAGGAGAGGGGTGAGCACCCTACGTTTTTTTTCGTCCCTTGTCACCTTCTGCTAACCCTGCACGCGTCTAAGGGCTGGAATGCCTGAGGAAAGCATGATGGCACACCGTGGAAGCCATTACGTAATGGTAATTGATAGAGAGGAAAAATTCTAAACATGCTTCGAAGAAATTTTACCCACGAGCCCGACACTTTACCGGTGTGCCCGAGGGGCATCGGTGAACGGGAACGCCCGGCGTTCGAACGCAATGGACGGCGAGTAGGGACGAGGGCAGCCAACTTCACGTCTTAATCTTTTCGACGAGAGCTCGGCACTCCGACGTTCCCGCGCACTATCTTCTCCTCCTCCTCCTCTTCGGTTGCTATCCACGTAACCTAAGAAAATCTAAAGAAAAAATAACCACCAACTCTGCCACAAGCCCCATAGGATACTGAGGAAACGCATTTTGCGCATTCCGACCTTATCGAGGTAAATTTTTTATACTCGAGGCCCTTGGTCGCTATAGTCACTGATGAGATGAAAGCGGCGGAAAGGAGCTTTAGTTGTCCCGCCTCCGGCACAAGCTTTCTACCTTCGACGATGCTCCAACTTCTTGAACGCGAGCGCAAAGCCAATGCACGGTGGAAGGTGTGGAGTGCGTGCCTGGGGCCGGGCTTTCGAAACACTCGCCCTGCCGCTCTCGTCCTGTCAGTCAGTATTCACTCTTTTTTGCACGGGTTGAAACGTGGTGGCGCCAGTGTGCAGATAGCCGTAACACTTCCGGTTCCCAACTAGATGCGGGTTTCGCAATATTTGCGAGATTTAATCTTTGCAATGGTTGCTTACGCCTTTCTTACACATAATTCGCTGTTATGGTGAAAGAATAGAATGATGAGTAAAAATTTAAAAACCATACCCGGACCGGAGTATGCCATGGCTACCGGATAGATGGCGCCGCCGAGTTTGTTGCCAAACAAACAAGGGCGAATAGGTCAAAGTGGTGCAGCCGCTGTCATTCGCGGAACAACTTTCAACCGAGCAAGTTGAGACAAATGCACGTGTAAAGAGGAACACGTTTCATTGTGTACGCGCTTCTCTCTGCTACGTTGTTCGGTTGAAAGTGGTGTCGTGTCGCGACTACCTCTGTTTTCATGTTTCCCGTGTTTTTTGGCATGAAATTATAACCAAATCGCCATTTTGACGGAGCACGGTTTCTGGAATGCGTCCCCAACTTATGCGATTAACGTCTCGGGCCTCCCGTGGATTGAAGCGACTTTGAAACGTCCGCGTTATGTCATGGGGGCTTTCGAGGAGGGCGGGTTGCAGTCATGACTGTCGGACGTAAAGGCGATGCTGCAAAAGATAAACAGGTGGCGCCAGTGTTACTTCGTCCCAACCTGCGTCTGCCAGTATTTTCGTCGACTGCGTGGCAGCCGACAGAAATGCTTGCCCTTAGCCGTCAAAGCTTCCGGCGGTTTTGGAAACTATCAAAAGCATCACAATAATCCGACGCAGTGATGGCCAGTTTTGAGACCATTAGATGGGAGTTCAACAAACAAGAAATCTGCAGCAGAAACACCGACCGGCACGACAGTGATAGTCTGCTTTATTACCAACTGTTCCCGTCGTTCATTTTGCAGTTGGAGACGTGATCCAGTTTGTGCGTGGCTTCCTGCGGAATGGACGACAGAAATTTTATTTGTGTGAGTAGGTTTCTCTTGTTTTGCCTTTCTTTCTTGTGACTTGTGCAAGGCTGACATGCAGTGCTAACAGAGCTTGTGGAGTGGTTTGTGGGAACAAAACGTGCCTCTTCTATATTGGCAAGTTTGTGGAACTGTAGACGGGTACTTAGCCAGTGCGGTTCAGCTCCTAACCTGAGAATGTGCGTCTCGCAGTAGTGATTATACGGCTGCATGTCTACATGACGCTACTTCAGATCGGAATGGGCAGGTGTTGGGGATTGAATCCAGTAGCCATTCTTGGGTTTTGCAGTGCGAGCTTTGACTCCATGTTCTCCGAAGTGCAGCGCACTAGCTGTGCCTCATCACGATTCGCTGTCTTGTTTCGCGTGAAATTGCGGTAGTGCCAGCGCAGTGCATGGAAGGCTTCAAGGGGCTTTTAAAAGTGCAACTTCAGAAGCACCAGCTTTTCAGTTGCAATGAATGTTTCCTGACAGGAGCAACCTGTCTAGAAAGAATTACAGTAAAACCTCGTTAAGACGTAGTTCGATGGGAACGGGGATAAGTATGCGCAAAGTGGTAGTACGGCTTAAGAGAAAATGACAAATACACACCACTTACCGTATTTACTCGATTCTGGGCCAACCCCCCAAAACGGCAAAGCCGGAAAAACAAAATCCTCGATTCTAGGCTGATCAGTAAGGAACGGTAAAACACCATTAATTAAACATAGAACGGCATTTATCTCATCGGCCACGAAGCCGATGAAGATGTTAGCGGTTTATGTTCTCGTCTTCAAATAGAGACGCAAGCAACGCCGCGAGTTGCCATGAGCAACAAACAAAAGTAAACTTTTTTTTGTGTGTGTGTGTGCGCGCATCCGCAAAGGAGAGAAGGGAGGGGGGGCAAAAAGCAAGGTGCATGACTGGCATGGCGCATCGCGTCCTTCTCCCTCGTTTTCCCCCCTTGCGTAGCGAGGAGCATGCGGGAGCTGCGCAGCAGCGGAGGCGCAAAACCCTACGAGCGGCGGCCATGGGGGTAGGCGGGGGGGGGGGGGGGGTGGGGGCGGCGGCAGCGGGCAGCAGCAAGCGAAATCCCGTTCAGAAATGTTCGGAACCTCCTGCGCAGCCCACCAAGCCAGCCGAGCCTGCGACCGCAACGTCAACAACGCTGTTCGGAAAAGCTCAGCTCCTCCTCTCCCACCAGCCAGGCCCGTAAACTGTGTAAACCGCGTCAACTACCGCCACTGGTCCCCCGCCAGCATCCTTGCCGATGTTCGTTGGTTCGCCTGCTCAACGGCTGCGAGTTGCGCGGCGCCGAACTCGCGCCCATGCTTGCGCCCTCGCTTTCACGCTGGGTTGGCTTCGCGTGTTCGCTCCCACCGTGGTTGTTGCTGCTGGTGCGCGGCGGCCCGGCCGCACGGCTTTAGCTCCGCCGCGCGTCGCAAGCGTGGCAGCAACTTCTAACTTAGTACGTACTGGGGAGTGAAAACAGTGCGCGTTGACCGGTAAGTACACAATAAGCGACTACGCATTAAGCGGGCATTGAATGCATTAGGTTTAGCGGGAGACATGTCGGGGATCTGACTAAGCTACCTTTAAAGCGGAACTACGGCTTATGCGGGTACGTGGTACCGAGGTTTTACTGTACTTTAATATCAGTCTTTTACTTTATTGTTGAATCTGAGATCTTCACGATTGATTCTTTGTATATATATAGTCGTCTATACCCTGTTCTACCATGTGTTTATTTTGGGGTTCATTTTACCAACACGCTCATTCTATCCCTACATTTTTCTGTCACTCCGTCTTTCAGATACTTCCCCTCCAAAGACTGTGCTCGAAGAAAGGACTTCATTGGTTGAAGTAAGGGATACATTTTTTGTTTTATAAGTCTTTCTTATCGCTTATGACACCGTACCGTTGCTCGAAGGATCTATCTCTTTCTAACCCAACATTAATATGACTCCAGGCATTGGCTTTTGGAGCGTGGAGCAGTGATAACCTTAACCCTGGGGTTTTCAAATTGGGTTTTTAAAAGCTCTGGGGTTCCCCAGAGCACCCTCAGAGGTTCCCTGACCTCTGAGGTTCCCTAAACAAAATGCATTTCCTTTTTTTTTTTTTTTTTTTTTTTTTTTGTATATGTGCTATTTCAGTGGACGTGAGCCATTCATTGACCCATAACTATAGTCAAAGACAAGTTAAGAAGCCCGTAGGTCCTCCGCCTTGAGCGCGAGGTTTTTTTTTTGACAGCATCCTGTTGTACGTGCAGCCAAAACACGGCATAAGACAGGAAGTGTGCACCGGGAGCGAAGCACTCTCTGGTATGTGCATTGTCGTCTATGAGGCCTACGGGCCTTCACTGCTCGGCTTTTATTCGAAGGAGACACGTGTTCCTCGATATAAAGGAGTTTGAGAATCTCCGATTTTGATCTCCGATGACTCTTCGATCCCCCAATGCTCATTGAGTTGTTATCACTGTCTCGGATTGGTAACGGATTTTGCAGACAAGTACAGTTCTTGTAGTACATAGTATTGTGCTGAAATCCGGGAAAAAGCCAGGCAATAGAAGCTGGAACGCCAGCTTTGGCACTTTTTCCCGTCTCAAGAATGCAATGACATACGGTGAGTTGGGGAATGGTTGCCGATCGGTGCAGGCCGACCTGGTTCCGGCATCGGTGGTCCACTTTGGGAGCGAGGAGAACCCGCATGGACCCCTGCTAAGGGACGAGGTGATGGCCCTCATCTCCAGCCCGGATGGGGCCTCCACGTCTGCCCTGCGCCTCAGGTGACCACTCACTCCAGTCTTTGTTTACGGCTGAAGGTCACATGAGTATCCCCCGGATTCCATCTTTGTAGGGATAAAAGTTACGTGAATAGCTAGGGTCATGTCTCATTAATGTGGACAGCTCTACCCCTTTTAAAAAGAATTGTTCATAATGCAAGTTGTCCATAATAATGACACAAAAATGTGTCTTTTTGCCCACCGGAAAAGGGTGTCTACATACTGGAGTATTGGTGACGGAAGTGCTGCGCCATTTGCACCGAATCGCACCATGAATGCAAGTCTACTACATGTTGCACCAAAATGCCAATTGTCCTCGAAATTGTGCCTCACTTGCACCAGGATGAGCTTGAACAGAGCTAAGAAAGAATGTAATATTGGTCGACACTGACATTGAAAGAAGTAGAAGAAAAGGAGAATGGTAAAAACGTATACTTCACGGTGTCTATGCTCACCGTAGCTAAAATTCGCTCGTCTTTCATGCTAGCCACGTCATTGTCTGAACTTCCAGACGATATTGGCAATGTGACGGAGCTAGAAGTCGCGGGAAAATGAATAAAAATGGTGGTATGGCAACTACTGCGAGAACACAGAACCAGGGTCTCATACTCAGGGTGTCTAGCGACCGGGAATCGTCGGGGAAATTTTAATTACCGGGAAAAAACGGGCAATTGTCAGGGATATTGTCAAAAAGAGAGCCCAGTCAGGGACAATGGGCCGGAAACGCCATTGACTGCCCTGAGCAAAGGCTTGCGGACTTGGGGACAGAAAAATTGGCAATAAATTCTGTGTACAGTGGAGCGCGGGCTCTGCTCACCCAATGTAAAGTGTGCTACCTGATGCAAAGGCAAAGAGAACAGCTGACAAATCCTGTCTAAGCATTGCGTTGCATTGGATTGGATTGGATTGGTTTGGTTTGGTTTGGTTTGGATTGAGAGCATGACACGAGGCTAGATCCAGTTAGAGCTGCTAGATTTAGTAACAAATTGGAAAGCCGCAAACCCCACTTCAATCCAAGCCTCAAGCCGAAAGTGTGCATCTGGCGGCCATGTTGCCATCCGGTTGTTAACGTGTGTTAGAGCGTCATGTTTTCATAGTGTTTCCGGAAGTGGCCTCTTCACTGACGATGTCGGTTGCAAGAAAGTGCTCGTTTAATCCGGACTGGATGAACCCGAATATTTCTAAATATTCAAGTGTCGTGTCCGCTCGTGTGTACCAGCACCAGGGACAAAACGAGAGAAACGACGACGACACGGGCACGTGCGATTCTTGGGGTGATCGGGCGCCATCCACCTTGAACGTTTTCATGTGAAGTATTTCTTGATGTAATTCGATGTAAATGAGCGTGTACAGTCAATATTTGAACCAGTAAACATCAAGTTGGATTAAGCCCGTGCAAAATGATCCTCACATTGCCCAATGCTCAATGCCTTGTGTTGTAATGGTCTTATATTTTTAACCACCTCTACAGTGATCAGAGATTTTCACCTAAAATTGTCGGGGAAAACCTGGAAAAATCGGGGAATTTTAACCCTAAAAGTGCCTTGGACAAGCTGAGCTCGTCAGCCACATTCTGGCTAAAAATGCCGTGGACAAGCTCAGCTCGTCCAGTGGTTTTTTCAGTAGCCCTCAATTCCACGGACGAGCTAGGCTTGTCCAAGTAGTTTTGCGGCGCTGATCGTAGATGGCAGCGCTTGTTTTAGTTGGCAAGTATTTTTTTCGCCTCCGCTGATTTCTGCAAAATAACCTTATCAAATTTTATGTGTATGTAATACTGGAGGAATAACAATTCAAAATAAAAAAAAATAATGGCACTTTTAGGTTTCTTTTGGAAAAAAAAAATTTGGCGCTTAAAGGGGCGGTGCAACGATTTTATGATTAAAAGAATTTGCATCTCATCATTTTTACGTTGTTTATCATGTCCCAGAGGATAGAGAAAACACCTCCTTCATTAAGAAATGTTGCGATTCCGCTGCATAATCGCACAGCAAAAGTCGAGCTTTTTCCCCCACCTGCAGCCCCAAGCGGCAGCTGAAGGAACTACAGCGAAAAGATTACGTGACCTCGCTCGGCTCTAAGCTACAGCATAACGCCCGCTAATGTCAGCAGAGAGAAGGAGAGGAAGCGTCCTCCGAGATAGCACCGGGGAACCTCCACGGCACTCCGAATGACGTCACTAGAAGGGGGACCAGGTGTGACCCTGAAGGCTGGGAATGAGTTGAGGGGTGCCCGAAATGCCAATATTTCTCTTTATTTTTTTGCACAACTAGGACACACAGGCGAAATCGGTTTTCGGTTCTTTAGTTCAGAAGTGTCAGAGGGCAACTTCTAGAAATCTTTGATCGAAGTCCAGAAATCGTTGCACCCCCCCTTTAAGGGGTTAAAATAACAATGTGCTAACACCCTGCGTACTCCTGATGAGATTGCTTGTTTTTTATCTCTGCCAAATGCCTCCGCGCCATAGCACAATCGCTGCTCACATCAAGCTTTACAACCTTGCAGAGGATATTGTGCATCAGGCTTCGCTGCATTGCATCGGTGCATTAGAAGCGGCTTGTGCGGGGGAACATCCATGTGTTAGCGCAACGGGCTCGGAAATTATGCTCTGTAGTATTAAAGGTCGACCTCTATTTTCAAGAAGCGGTGCCGAGATAGGAAAACGGAACAAGAATAGCACATCTATATTCGAATAAGTAGACAAGGTAGTCTTTGTGCAGTAGTCAATCGAAAGGGCTCTCCGAAATCCAAATCAACTCTGACTCCAATGCCGCTAACTCTCGCAGAATTAGGAGTGTCACTTTGAATGCTCCACTTTAATTTTTGATAATGTTTCGGGGGGGCGGGGGGTTGCAGTTTATATATATATTAGGTACTTGACTTTTGTAGGTTCACAAATCTTGCTGGAACAAATTTTTATTGATTGACACCAAGTTTTTCAGGACTTTTGCATAAATAATATTCATCGGCTACATTAACTATGAGCATAAAAGGGAGAGTGGGAGAGACACTTTATCTAAACTGAGGTATGTTGCTGTGATTCATTTTTAATTTTTTTTCTTCTGAGTTTCCACTAAGATTTATTTTTCAACCATTTTATTTTTCTTCTTACTCCCGACTGTAAATGGAACCTACTATGACCTGAGCCTTATTCTAAGAGACAGTTGTGTGCCATGCTATACTTTTTATGATTATTTATTTGCATTATAATTACGAAAGGGTAAAGCAATATGCTTCGGTATCAACGATGAACCCTCAAAGCCTTATTATCAAAGATTGGCTTATTTAGTAATGCAATTATCATTTAATTTTAAAGTGATGCACTAACGCTAACACGTGTTGGGATCTTAGTGATGTGATTGTGAATGGTGCCACACTGCACCAAAGTACTTACCCTGCTACATCCTGCTACATGTTGCCAAAATGTGGGGAATTTGTGCAAACGTTGCGCCGAAATTTAATTTCTATTTAATAATACTAAAAATTAAATACCTCAGGGCTCGCTGCGCAGCCAGACCGTTGCCGTACGCTTATGCAAGTTTTCAGCAATTTCGATTATCGTCGCAAATAACATACAATTCGATTGCAGTTTGTATAAAAGACTGACAGTACTCTGAAGTTTCATAATAATTCTCATGTTTGTCGTCTGTTCTGCCGGAGGGTTAGTCTTGTTGAGCGCGCTTCTCACCGCTCTCTGGTGCACTGCAAAGAAGCGACAACTGCGGAGTAGGCATCGCGACTTTTTTCAATTCGCAATTTAGCAAGGATACTTCGGTATTGCAAGAACATTACCGTGCATTCTTTTGCATGTTTTGTTATTTATGCCAACTCATTTGTTTATCTATCACTTTTTTATAGATGTGAGAAAATTATAACTAAATTGGCAGGGGCAGTGGATGGAAGCTTGAGAAACTCCTTAAAGGGACACTGACACCCCCCAAAAAAATTTTTTCATTTTTTGCCAGGCGCTTCATTATGGTGTTGGGGGACTACCCAGTTAATATTTTGCAACAGAGTAGCGTATTTCTTTAATAAAGCCAAAAGACGCAACTGCTCGAACCGAAACCAAAACCCGACGGAGGTCGGAGAAGTGGAGAGAAGAGAGTGACTGGCGGAAGTCACGTGGCTACACCCGACCGTGCGTTTTTTTTTTTCTTTTTTTCCTCTCTGGTAGCAGACGACACGACATGCGGCGTGCGATGCGGCGTGCGGGAACTGCTTACCGTGCGATTCTTTTGCAGTTATGTTTGTTCCGCTCGTTGTTCTGTACTCCAAGAAGAATTGTTTTGTACATTGAGGAGTTGGAGATGAGTAGTGAGTGCCCGTGGTGAATTTCCATGATCGGCTCCGAAAAGAATAAACCCAAGATGTTGCGTGAAGAGCTGGCTCACATGTCCTGCATCCGAAAAAAAGTGGCATTGTGCGACAGAGTTTCCGAAAGATCAACGGGATCGGGACCAATGGCTGGCTGCAATTCCTGTAGAAAATTTACGGGCACCTCGGAAAGCGGACGCTACCTGATTACATTGAGTTCGCAGGTGTCAAAACGGAAATCCCATACCGTTTAATTCAGTGAAGTATCGTCCACAACATTTGTTTGTTATTTTTTTGTTTGTTTCTTCAGTGATGATTGTAAAAAAAAGAAAAAGATATATAAACATCAAAAAATGTTTGAAAAAAAAAAAATTCACGGGGGATTGAACCCACTCCTACCACGTGTGAAGCGGACGTCTTTCCCACTAAGCTACTGGGGCATCTCGTTTCTGGTGGATCTCTTTCCTTAGTAATAATTCAGCCGGTAAACTGTAAGTTGGAAAGTTTGCTGTCGATTTTTCTCTAGCAAAAGCACTCCCGGGTCGAAGTCTGGAAGCACCACGTTTTGGGGACATTCGCACCTAGTAAAGAAATCGTACGCGTGCATATTCAACTCTAAGTAGACACGTCTTCAGCCACGAGAAGGGAGCGACGGCTCGGCGACGTCTTCGTGCAAATCGGCTTGGTGGCCGGGCGTGTCGTACGGGATGAATACCAATTCTTTTGATCAGTCCCAAATGTTTCTTTTAACGGTAGACAGAATTCGCCGGTACCGCGAACGACAGTTCTGAAATAGAGGCCCCACGCCCGTCGTCCGCTGCCATCGCCGTCCCCGCGAGTCCCACGATACGCGAAACGACGAACGCACAGAATGCTTCCTGTTGTCTGTGGAACTTTTTTTTTTCAATCAACGTATTTACAGCTTTTTAGAAGCCACAAAAAATGGGTTTCATATTTTTTTCTATTTTTAATATTGAGTGTGTGCCTTCAGTGACCCACGACTTTGATTAAATTTGGTGGTCTCATTGATACCTTAGAAAACGGCCCGTGACCGCGAAAAAGAGAGTGAGCGAGACTCGAACCGGCCAATTCTTGATCGGTGGTTCTGTCCTTCATCACTCCCCTTCTTGACATCCTGTATGGTGCTTCTCCACGCAACTAAACGCTAGTTTTTTGTTTGAGGATCTCACTTCTGCTGTGCAATCAATGCTAAAAAAGGGTTGCATTAGAAAGCAGTGTAGACATTCCCTTTTAGTTGGACAGGCTGATACAATAATCTTAACATAATGTTTGCATTGTTATGAATATAAATTAATGTGCACTCATGCTACGAAAGTTCTTTTTGCTCCTCTAAAATTGACTTTTGGCTGCTCCATGAGCTGCTCCGAAATGACTCAAACCAATCACATCACTGGGATCTGCACCAAAAGGGTGAATGGCTGTTCCAAACCAACATCATTGCCTACTACGAAACCTGCTACAAAAAGTTGAATACCGCTTCCATCACTGGGGTATATTCCTATTTACGGGGTCCTCATTCACGGGACATGACTGCACTACCAAGTTCTATCTTGGTATTGCTAGGCGTTTTAAGAATAGCCACTACCGGCTTCCGTCTTTGTATGACCAGTCGTTCGGTAAATGAAGAGCAAGCCACTGCGTTCTGTCTATACAACACTACCGTAAAGTACTGGGGAGCACTTTCCCTACTTTCACTGAAGACTGGGTTAATCTAAACACAGGCGCTTGTCCCGTCAAATGATAATAGTGGGCACTCGAATGAAGTGGGTGCTTCCACGGTATTTTACGGTAGGTGCCCTGTGAGTAGCCAGCAGATTTTGTCCTTTTTTTGGGTAAAGCTTCCGTATGTGGCTAGGTGCGTTCTAAGTGGCCACCAAACTCCACATTTGTACTGTTAGACTGTTATGGGTTTTGTAGTAGTTCATGCGATAACTTGACATGTACAGTGTGGGAACAGCTAGACTCGCTTTCTATACGGTCATTGCCTCGAGTGAGTAGAACTGTGATTTGATATCAAAAAGTCTTGTCAAGGTGCAACTTCATAGTATGTTTGTCACATGACACAGCTCACTCCGTGAAGGCGATTCGCACAGTTGCATCGACTCCGACTGAGTGCAACTGCAACGACTTGGGACGTTAATCCTTTTTACAGGTTGCCAGGGCAACAACTGTGTCGGCTGCGACGAAACCGGTTTTAACCCCTTTTCGTTGGAGCCGACGCAGCTGTTGCCATAGCAACCTGTAAAAGGATAGACGTTGCAACGCCGTTGCAGTTGTGAACCAACCTTTAGAACTCAACCTTTCATCCAAGCCCTTCCCATCTCGAGGGAAAAAAATTTTGCCACTTATTTACGTACGACACAAAATCACGTAGCTCGTCGGCTGGATGCTTTCTTCGGTCAACTGTTTTTTGATTTGACCACAACTGTTCGAGTTGTTTCCCCCTTGTCTACAGCGAGACTCTTCACGCTGTCTTTTAAATTCCAGGTCCAAACGCAACATTGTGCCCCAAGACGTGGACATGGAAGCGCAGGCTCCGGCGCCGACTTCAGAGCGCGAGGCGTCGCGGGGTTCGGACCCTCCGCCTCAGCGCGTGAGCGGCGGCCCCGACCGCGAAACTTCGCCACAGAGAAAGACGGCGGCGTCAGAGAAACCGCCACCCAAGTGGTTCACCATGGGTGCGTGGATCTCAGTCTTGTTTTTTCGGTTCTAGCAATAGACGTTTTTCAAGAGTCGACACCTTCCGTTAGCCACTGCGTCGATTATCCGGGGTCGCTAATGTTTGACGGACACTTTGAGCGTGCATTGGGCGCGAGTGCCACATCAGTGTTAAGCACATACAGTTGAACCTCTATAATTCGATCTCCGTTTATTCGGAATCCCGGATAATTCGCAAAAATTCCACGGTCCCTTGACTTATCATGAAAGTATGACCGGAGAATATCGCCACACGCGTCGGCAAGCAAACGAGCACATGCGTGGTGAAGTGGTTACTGCACTTGACTTTCGCGCAGAGGCCCAGGGCTCAATTCCTGGGAGTTACGCGTCTTTTATTTATTCTTTCAGTTTAACATTCTAGTAAACTTAAGAATTCTGTGTCTTTTTCGAGGTCCGAACGTTCTAGCCGCCGAACCTTCTACGCCGATTGTTCCAGAAACGAACGCGTGTAGATAAGGGGGCTCGCATGGGGGAACCACAGTCAGTCTTGCCCCAGCTTCCGATCCTGCTGTTTCACCGACCTCGACGCCCGCGACGCTCTGTTGTTATCTTCTGTTCACTTTTTGTTTCGGGCACAAGTTCACCCCATTAAACGTTTCAGTTTCCCCGGTTATTCTTTGTTTCGTCACATCGTCATTCGTGACAATATGAGCGCTCTGTACGTGCCTACCTGATTGATTCGCCGATTTCGTCTTCCACATTTAATTTTTAGTTGCTAGGTGGCGCCAGCTGGCATCCAGATTTGGCAGCAAAAACAAAGGTGGCGCGCGTCTTCACTGATCCGTTTCCTGTTTGCTGGTCCATGCACTTAGTAGTCCCTTTTTTCTTTCAACTTGGGCAGGCTTAGTCACTCTCGCCTCACGTGGAGTTCATGATCTATGTCAGTGATCGATATCAGTGATCAATATTCTTGGCGCTGCGCCAGTGTGGTTCGGGCCGTTACTGAATCGCTTGTAAGCGACTTAGCAAGCAACGAGACGAGCGACAGCGACGAGTCAGCGACAAGTGATGGAGATTTCTCACTGTCGCCCGTCGCGTCGCTCATCGCCTTGGTCACTTGCTTCCGTCAATTTCATGCAGTTTGCCTCGTCACACTATTGACCGAGTGACAGCGAAGCGGGTTGCCGTCGCTTGTCTGTCTTTCGCGAAATCGCTTACATGTGACCGGCTGTGGAGCAGGAAGATACCGCCAGTGCTAGTGCCAGTATTTAATGCCCTTAGGATTGACGATGAGGGAGAGGAGCTTCGCTCCCGCATTAAGGACAGTGAGGGTGAGTTGGTCGGCATGAGGTTCCCAGACTACTTAAACATAGTAGAGGATGAGTAAACCTGCTACACGGACCTTGAGAGCATAATGGCCGAGTCTGACAGCAGAGATGAATGACGATGATGAGCCGCCTCGGGCCCCCCCTTTGTGTAATGTAACGACGGTGATTCTGAGATGTCGCGCCTAGGTAGCCTTTTTCAAAATATGACTGTCGGTGCCACTAATTACAGAACGTGGCAGTTCCATATCGCCGACTATTCATGTGAAGTTCTCTCGTTTTGATTACCCGTTTTGAATTAAATGTTTCCTTCAAGATTCAAGACTTCGCTTTTAATTTTCTGTCTATTTTTTTTGGTTATTGGATAATTCACAAATTTGCTTAATTTGCATATTTTTCACCGTCCGACCGACTTTGAATTAACGATGTTCTACTGTACTCGGATCCACTCGCAGTTTGCCCAGAAAGTAATACCCAAATGTGGTGGCTGCCAATGTTGCTTGACAGACTTCCAAAAGGAACCCATTTAAAAACTTTAAAAGCACTGAGGGGAAATGTAACCTTCTGCACTACTATTAGATAATGAGCAAGCAAAAATCCAGGATTTAGAGGCAACAGGGAGTTTTCAAAGACTCCTTTTCCCCTTCCCCATGCTCTCCACAACGAAAATGCCATTGCTGTGCATGCACGCCAGTAAGCTTGTTTCCAGAGTTCCAGTTTTCGTAGTGGGTTGCAGGGAGCATTGCGGGACAGGAAAAACAATCTATGAAAACACCCTTACCTTAAAAAAGCCTGCCCTGGGCAGTGATCCTTCCGTTCGCTTTAGTTTTCTCTTCCGATCTGTTTCCAAAAAAAAGGAGAACTTTTCTTCTGCGAAAGCACGCAAGAGCAGCAGACGTTGTCGGTACAATGTCTTCGGCAACGAGAAATGATTTAGTGACGCCCGAAAATTCGGAAGATCCAATATAGGAATGAACACAAATCATGGTGAACTTGTTGAGGCAGCTTCATTTTGTCACCACGAGTAAAGCTTAACTCCACTCGTCTCGAAGTGTTTCAATTGGCGTCTTTTATGTACATTAGACGGACCCTTGTGAGACTCCTCCTTGAAACCCTCGGACTGGAAGTCCGCCGAGCACACCACGCTATTCTTTGAGGGAGTCCAACCGCTTCCCCTGTTCAGTGTCTCAACCCATCGGTTGTGACGTACGACGTCTCTCGGGAAACTGGGAGCATATTCGGAAGCGACATATATTAACTTTGAAGTTTCATCAGCAAAGGCCTGTACGCACTCATCGATGAAACAAAACACCAGTGGTCGACTTGTTCGACCACTCGGACCGATTACTGCAGTTTATTACACTACATAAACCCATGGCGGTTAGGAAACTTTAGCAGACGATTCGTCCGCAAAATCAAGCGCGACCGCCGCGATCGCAAACATTTTGCAAGGTTGACTCTTCGATAGAGACTACACCTCTGATGTCGTTCTCCGTCATCAGAACCGTTGCTCAAGCGGTGCTCTGCATTATCACGCGGATTTCACACTTCGGTGGTTCGCAGACTCAGCATCTTGACGATCTCGGGCATCGCCGCGTGTTTCTCCTTCATCAGCTCCGTCCGTCATGCTTAAAGGGGCGGTGCAACGATTTTATGATTAAAATAATTTGCATCTCGTCATTTTGACGTTGTTTATCGTGTCCCGGAGAATAGAGAAAACACTTCCTTCATTAAAAATGTCGCGATTCCGCTGCTTAATCGCAAAGCAAAGGTCGAGCTTTTTCCCCCGCCTGCAGCCCCAAGTGGCAGCCGAAGGAACTACGGCGGTAAGATTACGTGACCTCGCTCGGCTCTAAGCCGCAGCATAGCGCCCGCTAATGCACGCAGAGAGAGGGAGGGGAAGCGTCCTCCGAGATAGCACAAGGGAAGCTACACGGCACTCCGAATGACGTCACTGGGAGTGCGACCAGGTGTGACCCTGAAGGCTGGGAGTGAGTTGAGGGGTGCCCGAAATACCAATCTTTATCTTTTTTTTACGCAAAAACTAGGACACGCAGGCGAAATCGGTTTTCTGTTCTTTACTTCAGAAGTGTCTGGGGGCAACTTCCAGAAATCTTTGACCGAAGTCCGAAAATCATTGCACCGCCCCTTTAAAGTTTAATGCCAAAAAAAAACAGGGTCACAACGATAGATGCATACAGGATGAGGCGCCTGATCCTGTCAGTTTCAACGGCTCCATAACTCTGAAATCCCACTGAACAAGATAGAATTTTATAGTATACCGCCAACTGGCGTGTGGTCACGTCACTTCCGGACTGACTTTTTTTTATGACTAGGCTTCAAAAAAATCACGTGATGCCATCCCCCTGCTGACAGCCAAGTGCAGAGCCGTATATAGGGAGTGTTTGGCCAGTCTATGATTTCACCGCCGAAAAACCCCCCTCTCCCGAGTGAACCAATCAGCCCGCGGCACGAAGCGAGAGGCGTGTGCGCATGCGCATGAACTCCCGGCTGCTCCCAGCTGAGCGGGGAGGGTCGCCATTTTCATTCGTTCGCCCAGTGGAACGCATGGGATCGGCATCTAAATTTCGGTTATTTCCTTTTATATCGCAGGCTGTGGCAAGAAAATGATATACTGTTATTCCTTGGTGGGTTAACAAGCTAACGAATGAAGTTTTCTTGACGTCTGACCGCAAACATTTATTCAGGCAAAAAATAAGTCGACCTGTAGCAGACGAGGCGTAGCTTCAACAGTGCTCTGTATGCAAAGCGTGTTGCGTCAAAATGGCGGTCGTCTTCTCTTTGCTCCCTTCCTTCTCTCTCGTACCTTCGGCACTCTCCTTCGTCTCACCTACTTTTATCTCTCCAGCGCCTTCGTCGCCACCACCCACTGGCCAGACTCTTCCAATTTACTGCTCCGTTTGATGGCAAGCAGCAATGCCCGAGTGGGTGGCCATGTTGGAACACCCCCAGCGTTAACTGTGGTTCTCTTGCTGTTTCCGCGCAACGAGCCATTTGTGGCTCATTAGAATGCGATTCGAGCTCGTGATTTCAGTATACTGTAATGTAAAGGCATAATCTTTTTATATGCCCGTGAGAACCCGCTTTCGGAGTCCTATTATCCGATTTCAAACAAAAACGTGATTGTATTGTCTGTATCAAAATACATTGCTCCTATGGGAGGTTGGCCGGGAATAAAAAAAATGTCGTATTAACGAGATTCCATTGTAGTTTACAGTTGCTTCAAGAGGAGGTCAGACCTTGCTTTGTAGTAATTTCCTGTGGAAATCGTTATTGCTTTTGACAGCTGTCAGACTTTCAAATGTTTTTATTTTTCCACTCGCGGGTTGAAGTGGTCCAACGTCGGAGCTCGGGAAAGGATTGACAGGTCCTAATATCCACTTATTTCTTTATTTTTCTTGCAGGTAAGAAGTGAGAATCGGAATTTGCGTCTACATTTAGGGCACAATAAAAGTTGTTTTGTACATTCAGTGTTGCCTGCTGATTGATGGGGGGCATGATAGTGCCTACCAATAGACCTGCCAAATTACCCAAACACCAAGGAGAAGGCCGAGAACATAGGTCGCACGGCTTCTCCACAAAGCTGGTTTCAAGTGGAATGTTAAGTTGCACCTCTTTGTACAGTCGCTGCAACGAAACTACATTGATAAACCTGCATATGTGTATTGCAATTGTGATATATGCACAAGGAAGAGCCAGTTTCAAAGTTCTCCCCAACAAGTTGAACGAGAAATATAACTGCCAGGGCCTGCATCTCGTACAGTTGAGGTCCATACTGTAAAAAAATGCATGTATTATTATGTTGTGTTGTTGTAAAGATGTGCTAACGTAAATTTGGGAGTGGGGGGGGGGGGAGGGGGGGTGCAATTTGTACACCGAAAAATTTGGTACAGAAATTCCATGAACATGCTCCGATATGTAAGCGTTCCTTGCTCACACAGTACACAAATTAAGTGCAGCAGGTTTTTTGATACATTTGTTTCAGATTCTCAATTATTTAACTTTGTGTGCGTAGGGAAGTGGCAGACGAATAGGCGTAGATCTCTCGAGCATTTCCATAATTGCAATCTTTTGCGGGCAGTAAAACGCCTGGGTCCGACGACTTGATTGAGAACTGTTGTGGTAGACGGTGCAGTCAGTCTCGGTGCTTGCATTTCGAATATGAACTACCTAAATAGTGCCGGAAAGCGGCCGTTTTGAAATTTTATGCCCGTTATTTATGAGCAAGAACAACTGATAAGACTGAGTCTTAATTCCCCCCAAATTTTATGTCTACACTCAAATCTTGCAGGTGCACACACCCTTTTGTTGTCGTGGCAAAGCTTCCCGAAATGCCCAGACCGCTGAACTTTTCATTGTAAAGGTTTGGAAATCTCGGAAACAGTAAAAAGACTGGAACTTGTTTATCTTCCCTTATCTATAACCAGCATCAACTATGTAGTTAGTGCCACGTTGTAAAGGCTAGCAGTGCCCCAACCCTATGAAAGCTACTTGCATGAGTGCATGGCTTTGTTTAGCATCTCCTTTGCACCAGAGCACGTGCGAAGGAGACTCGAGGCAAAAGTATGTGCTCTCGCAGCAGCGCTGTGGCAGTGCTAAGGCAGCACTGTGGAACCTACGCTAACCTTGACAATGTAGCACAAAATAGTTGTCGTCAAGCATAGCCTAGCATGTGGCATATATTTTCTTGTAATCATAACCTCAGCACCGCAACTCCAGAAATAATATTATCTTTTCATGCTCAAAGGAGTCCTCCCTGCCAAGCTGTTACCACTACATATGGGAAGTCCGGCCTAATTATTACCGTTTGGCCATTAAATTTTAACGGCCCTAATAAATTGGCATATGTCAAAATAGGACACTGATCGATACAACCAAATACGAAATAATTCAGCTCTTCATTAAAAGCGTTTGAATATAAAGTGTTCAAGGCAGAACGAATCTCGTGTTTATGATATGCAACCCAATGAAACTGAAGTCATTATAAAAGAATTGGGTCAATGAAAGCCTACCGAAAAATCAGCAGTTCGTAAAAAATAGATAATCGATTTTTTACTCTCGCTTACATTTTGTGAGCAATGAATTCTGCACCTGCCAAACACCCCGACAAATAAAGCTCACAATCGAGACTGGCCCTCTGCTTTATGTCGTAAAACATCTAAACCTTGACCAGCTATAACTTGAATCCAGATGTTTCTCCAACTCTGTCCTACAGCATTGTGCCAATCCGAAAGGGTTATTAATTATAAACTAAACCCCACATAAAATCTAACTGAGGCGGCCGCCTTGTTTTTAGGGCTTCGGCGTTTGTACTACGTTCTCCGAGAAGTATGACGAGACACTTTGCAGCTCTGGTGCGGATTTTGAGCCTGTGCTTGCTGATTCCGCATCGCCACCTTTCTCCCGCCGTGGACGGAACAAATCCGGAGGCTTGCCACCACCGTACGTATTGTGGGCACCCCACGTCGCTGACCTGTACCAATTCCACCTGGAAGACGGCCTGCGCTTTTTCCCCTCGGACATCATCGCTAGTAGATCCATGCAACGCCGCCTACCTTATGTCGGTGTCTCCAATCGAGCTGCAGCATGTTTGCGGCCCGGGGCAGGTTGGGGATCTACTTATGAAGACGTAATGTGCTGGCCTTTCTTCTAGGTGGTATCATAGATGGGTGGTATTGGGCCGGCACTCGCGCAGGCATGGTGGTCGAGAACAATTTTGTGGTGGGATTGAAAGAAGGGGGAAGGGAGGGGGGGGCATGACAGTTGCTCACGTGCTTCCCCTGCTTGCAGAAGTGCAAGCTTGCGCAACTAAATCTCGCCGGGTGCCATGTTCACAAACTTTGGCCCTACGTCTTTCTGTGTGTGGAGGCAGGGTTCTCCAGTTCGCCTGGGCTTTTCGCATCGTGATAGACTGCCTCTGCCGGAACGGTCGGCGACACAAAGGAGGGCCATCTGCTACTCCATTTTTATAGATTCCTGTCTTTATTGACGGTGCAGATGAGCCGCTGCTCGAGAATTCAACTCTGTGGCGGCCAAAATCACTCCGGGACGACTCTGAAACAGAAGACGCATTCTAAGTGTGTGGTTCGATCCTCAGGTTCAGTTTCGTCGTGGACGAAGCAACTCGACACGCTTGTGCGTTTTACCATCGCCAAAAAGGACACCAGTAGCTGTCTGCATGCAAGCAAACGAAAAAAGTGGCAGATGCTGTTCATCAACATGTCGGTACGCGGCTTACAGGAAATGAAAATGACTTGTGAATTGGCCCTATTCTCATTTTGTTCTTTTTTCTTTCAGTGGCCCATAAAACTCGATTATGTGTCCTTCAATTTTTGAAGCTGAGTACAAGTGCCGACCTCGTTAAATTTCAAGAAGATGAAAAGGGAGAAGGCTTCGTTATCTGGGTATATATGGCAATTTCGGCCAGTTTGTACATACATGATCGTAGACGGGCGCCGAAAAACACAAGGACAAGAAGAGACGTAAACAGTGGCGCACTCGCAACTAACATTTATTGAAAAAACAAATCCCCTATATAGCAGTGAAAAAACCCTTCGTCACTACTAGGAACGGTGTAGACCCGTTTCTAGAAAATCAAATTCTTTTGTCGATCAGGTTATCGAAATGTCACTTGTGCGCATCTTGCCTTTTGCTTTGATTTCAAAAGCCTCGTGGAGCTCCCTGGATATCTTATCTGAGTATCTGGCCAGAAATTTTGTGTGTTTAAATAACGGGGTGCAATGGCCATTGCTGCCCGTCATTTAAAGGGACACTGACAGGGTATTTATGCTCGCTGAGGTTTTTAGTTGTACGTGACATATGAGAGCTCAACTACCCAGCACAGAATTTGCAGCTCGAAATTCTGTTTCTTTCCGCCCGAAAACCGCCGATCAAGAACTGGCTGGTTCGAGTCTCGCTCACTCTCTTTTTCGCGGTCACGGGCCATTTTCTAAAGTATCGATGCGACCACCAAATTTAATCGAAGTCGTGGGTCGCTGAAGGCACACACTCAATATTAAAAATAGAAACAAATATGAAACCCATTTTTTGAGGCTTCTAAAAAGCTGTAAATACGTTGATTGAAAAAAAAGAAGTTCCGCAGACAACCTGAAGCATTCTGTGCGTTCGTCGTTTCGCGTATCGTGGGACTCGCGGGGCCGGCGATGGCAGCGGACGACGGGCGTGGGACCTCTATTTCAGAACTGTCGTTCGCGGTACCGGCGAATTCTGTCTACCGTTAAAAGAGAAATTTGGGACTGATCAAAAGAATTGGTATTCATCCCGTACGACACGCCCGGCCACCAAGCCGATTTGCACGAAGACGTCGCCGAGCCGTCGCTCCCTTCTCGTGGCTGAAGACATCGCTCCCGCAAACGTCGAGCACGACGTGTCTACTTCGAGTTCAATATGCACGCGTACGATTTCTTTACTAGGTGCGAATGTCCCCAAAGCGTGGTGCTTCCCGACTTCGACCCGGGAGTGCTTTTGCTAGAGAAAAATCGACAGCAAACTTCCCAACTTACAGTTTACCGGCTCAATTATTACTAAGGAAAGAGATCCACCAGAAAAGCGATGCCCCAGTAGCTCAGTCGGAAAGACGTCCGGTTCACACGCGGTAGGACCGGGTTCGATCCCCCGTGAAACTTTATTTTTTTTTTCAGACATTTCCCGATGTTTACATATATATACATATATTTTTACAATCATCACTGAAGAAACAAACAAAAAATAACAAACTAATGTTGTGGACGATACTTCGCTGAATTAAATGCTATGGGATTTCCGTTTTGACACCTGCGAGCTCAATGTAATCACTTTCCACAAAATGCAAGGAGCATATAAATCAGGTAACGTCCGCTTTCCGAGGTGCCCGTATATGTTCTACAGGAATTGCAGCCAGCCGTTGGTCCCGATCCCGTTGATCTTTCGGAAACTCTGTCGCACAACGCCACTTTTTTTCGGATGCAGGAAATGTGAGCCAGCTGTTCACGCAACATCTTGGGTGTATTCTTTTCGGAGCCGATCATGGAAATTCACCACGGGCACTCGCTACTCATCTCCAACTCCTCAATGTACAAAACAACTCATCTTGGAGTACAGAACAACGAGCGGAACAAACATAACTGCAAAAAAATCGCACGACGAGCAGTTCCCGCACGCCTCATCGCACGCCGCATGTCCTGTCGTCTGCTACCGGAGAGGAGAAAAAAAAAAAAAAAAAATAACGCGCGGTCGGGTGTAGCCACGTGACTTCCGCCACTCACTCTCTTCTCTCCATTTCTCCGACCTCCGTCGGGTTTCGGTTTCGGTTTCGAGGAGTTGCGTCTTTTGGCTTTACTAAAAAAATACGCTACTCTGTTGCAAAATATTAATTGGGTAGTCCTCCGACACCATAATGAAGCGCCTGGCAAAAAATAAAAAAATTTTTTTGGGGGGTGTCAGTGTCTCTTTAAAAAACACATGCAAAGGA